CTATTTCCTAGACATATATCCATCGTTCTATAATCTATGAGTAAAACCCAATTTCAAACTTAAATGATCAGTAGGATATAAGAGGTCGTAGTATTCCTATGTTTTTACATCCTTGCCATTAGACTTCATATTTTATTTATAATTTATTCCAAGCATTTCATTAACTGCCATAATTGTAATTAAAACTCCCTATTAATAGCATATCAATCACCCCATTTCTTTTGGTTGCCATTCCCTCTAACATATGGCCCTTTAAAATTGCAAATAAAAAAAATATGTAAATTACATATCCAATCATGTACATATGAAAAGTATAAATATAAATATATATGTATAAAATATAGGTATATTATTTACCCAAAAAAATTAACAAAAATAGGTCAATTACTTTCTAATTGAAATTTCCGTACATTTTTCATAAATAAAAATAGGTACTATTTATAGAAAATAGGTACATTATTTAGAAGAAGAAGAAAAAGTTCATTATACTAGGTAAATTGTTTTACTAGGTATACATTATTAGAGAAAAAAATAGGTTCATTATACTAGGTAAATTGTTTTACTAGGTGCATTATTAGAGAAAAAAAATAGGTACATTATTTTGAGAGAAAAAATAGGTACATTATTTTGAGAGAAAAAATAGGTATATTATTTTGAGAGAAAATAGGTACATTATTTTGAGAGAAAAAATAGGTACATTATTTCGAGAGAAAAAAATAGGTACATTATTAGAGAAAAAATAGGTTCATTATACTAGGTAAATTGTTTTACTAGGTACATTATTAGAGAAAAAAAAAGTAGGTACATTATTTTGAGAGAAAAAATAGGCTCATTTAAAAAAATTGTTTTCATAAAACAAACAATAAAAAGATGATCAAATTATTTTTCATAAAACAAGTAATAAAGAAAAAAGATAGGTACAATATTTGGAGAAAAAATTGGTTCTTTAAAAACAAAACAATAAATAGATTATCAAATTATTTTTCAACATAATTAGAATGTACACTATTACTCATAAAACTATAATAAAAAAGAATACTAGTCGTATAATTCATAAAAAGAAAACAACATTAATTCCTAAATTTATTATTGAATTTAAATTATTAATACTTTAAATAGATTACTAGTCGTAATTCATAGAAGGAAAACACCATTAATTCAAAAATAGATTACTAGTCGTAAAATAGATTACTAATACTTTAATGTGGAATTTAATATTTAATTTCAAATAATAATAAATCAGATTTTAAGTTATATTAGGTAACTTGCTTAGTTGGATCCTAGTCATCGGATATTATTTGAAAAAATTGGGTATTTTAATTAGAAAACTAAAGAAAAGGGTTGTAGGTGATTTAAAATGAATTTTATGGGTCTAAGCTCAATTTACTATTAATTTAATACAATCTCCTTATAGAATAAAACACACACACACACATATATATATATATATATAGCTTCCATTGAGGGATCCCTCAAATAAGCTTATTTGAGGGACACCCTTTGTAGGGCCCACTTTGGATTGTATTTTACTAATTCAAACAGTCTATTTTGTAGATACTCATTCAAAGATTATCTCTACAAAAAATCACATGAATCCGATATCATTTGATTAGTCAATTGAGTTCTTGAAATTTTAGTACTTTCTTGAAGCACCGTGTTCATTGATTTTGTAGGACACAATTGGATGTCGAAACGGTTTCCGATTTGTCTAATTTTTTGCAAGGATGATCTATGAATATAGACTTAAAAAATAGATGGTTTGGATCGTTGAAAAAAAATTCGTTGGATACCTTAAAAGGTGTCCTTCAAATAATTTGATGAATCCTTCAATAAAAACCCTTGAGGAATCCCTCAATAGAAGAGGACTATATATATATATATATATATATATATATATGTGTGTGCGCGCGCGCATCAAAGTTCAAAAATGAGCAGCACGGCAAAGCGAGTAGAAAAAAGCACTTTTCAGAAAGGGAAGTTTCAGTGACATTTCTGATAAGGATCAAAGATAGTTAGGTGGGGACTTTACAAAAAGAAAATGGAATAGCTTTGTGTTCTATTGGGTAAGCGAAAATAGGAGAGACTGAGTGGAGGAACAAGAACAAGGACCAGGAAAACAACGAATGAGGATCCGAAATTCTGGTGGAAATTACAATGACATGGCATGGGAGCTAATGCATTTAATATTTTAATTTGAGGCAAAATAGGTTGCCAGCTGTCTACTAGTTATTGGATGGGGATAGGCTGACCCTGGCATCCCATTGCAAGGGAAGTTTGACTCCGGAGATACCAAAGGAGGAGCAGGTTGTTTACTAAAAAATAAAAATGCATTTAATATTTTAATTTGAGGCAAAATAGGTTGCCAGCTGTCTATTGGTTATTGGATGCGGATACTTGTGTGGATGGCGGAAGTGTTCTGTTCAAAAGATCCATAGAAGTTTCCTAGAAGTCTCTACTGTGTGCATGGCTTGAGTTATATATTTCAATCAATATTAATATTATTTTTATACCGAAATTAGAGAGTATGAACTCATGACCTTAAAAAAATTATAAAAAAATTTCTAAAATTCCTCAGATATGAAGGAGAACACTTTGCAACTGTAAAATATTCCTTAGGAAATTCCAAAAAAAAAGAAGGGCATTTTTGTCCATTTTAGCTTCTTTTACAAATATTTTTCTCTCCTTTAGTTTTTTCTAAAATGTCCCAAAATATTAATGGAAGTATGAAACTGATAGTAAAAGTAAACGTTGAGGATGACAATGGAAGTATGAAACTGATAGTAAAAGTAAACGTTGAGGATGACAATGGAAGTATGAAAATAATTAATTATACAATATAAAAAAATGTATATTATATATAATTTTAATCTAGATTCTAGTCTGTGTAAAATTTGGCAAAATGAGTGCTTCAGACATATATATACATTCTAGTCTGTGTAAAATGGGAAAGAAAGGGTCCCTGTCATGGGACAAACAATCCTCAAGCTTTGTAATGGACAAACAATCCTCAAGCTTTGTAATGGACAAACAATCCTCAAGCTTTTTGTAATGGGTCAAACAATCCTCAAGCTTTGTAATGGACAAACAATCCTCAAGCTTTTGTAATGGACAAACAATCCTCAAGCTTTGTAATGGACAAACAATCCTCAAGCTTTGTAATGGACAAACAATCCTCAAGCTTTTGTAATGGGACATACAATCCTCAAGCTTTGACAAACAATCTTTAAGCTTTTGTGATGGGACAAACAATCCCTCAAGCTTTTGTAAGCTTTTGTAATGACAAACAATCCCTCAAGCTTTTGTAAGCTTTTGTAATGACAAACAATCCCTCAAGCTTTTGTAAATATATGTCCCATGACAGGGACCCTTTCTTTCCCATTTTACACAGACTAGAATGTATGTATATATATGCCTGAAGCACTCATTTTGCTAAATATTAACTGATGATCAGGAATTCGGAAGCATACATTTTTTTTATTGTATAATTAATTAAGTTTTCGATTCTCTATATCGCAGGAGGGGCTATTAATGCTTCAGCAATTATGGAGATATCCCAAGAGACAGCTGTGAAGTTAGTTTCTTCTACTCTTCTAATTATATTATTTCTCAATTTCTCATCTTTTTTTCAATTTAAAGAAATAAATTTGTATTGAAACAATCTGATCCCATCTTATTGTTACTACATGAAGTTTTTTCTTCTCATTTTCATTCTCAACCTTTATTTTTACTATCACTTTCATACTATCATTAATATTTTGGGACATTTTGAAAAAGGTCAAAAGAGAGAGATATTTGTAAAAGAAGCTAAAATAGACAAAAATACCTTTATTTTCTTTTGGATTTCCTAAGGAATTTTTTACATTTTAATGTCTTTGGTTTGAAAATTGAGAGATTTTTCTATCTTTTAAAAAAAATTTTGACTTTTTTCAAAAATATTTTTTTTTATACGGCTAAAACCTAAATTTACTTAATATTTTCCATGGATTTGTGCCATGTTGACTAACCACCATCCTCGCGAAGCAAACCCGAGCAACCCAAACCACCATTCCCACCACACCACCCCCAGCGAACCAAGTCACCCCTGCCTTGCGCTTTCTCCCTCACTGCGCACACCACCCCATCCCCAAAATTCTCAGCACACCCAACCTCTTATTTTCCTCCCCAAATTCAACAATTTTTTTTCCCAAATCCAAGACTAATTCAACGATTTTTTCTCCAATCCAACCACCAATGAATTCACCCTCTGAGGACATTAGAGTACTACTTGATCTTCACAACCCCAATCATCAGCTTCAGTGTCTGATCTGAAAAAACACACCCTTTGAAATTTAGAACAATACCCAGATCTGTAAAACACACACCCTTCCCCGACCCGCTCCCTCCCTCTCTCTAACCCTCTGTTTTTCTCTCTCCCCACCCACCCACCCACCCTGTGTCGTTAGTTGCAGAGAGAGGAGATTTTCAAATTTTATTTTATTTTTATTTTTTTAATTGTTAATTGATTCTTTTAATTTATTGTATCTATTTTATTTTATTTTATCAGTTGATGTGGCTATTATATATGATCTGATTGTCTTCTTATTCAATGACTCTCTTGAAGTTTCTTCTTTCTTTTTTGGTTGGAAAAAAAAAAGGCTCATAATAGAGGCCCAATTTCTCTTGCCTGTGTAAAGGCTCTCTCACACTAGACAAGGCAGATACTAGTTCTTTACTTTGTACTAATTACTGCCTTAATCTTGTTGATCCAATATGCGTATACACGTGTTATAATATGAGTGGACTATATCATTATTTTTCTCCCTTTTGATCCAATTTTGTGCATCAACATTTGATTGTCATAACTTTTTCAGCATCGTAGAACTTCCTGCACCAAGAGAATTGTCACTACCAAGGTAAGAAAAACGAACGAACGCATGGATCCATAAAGAACCTTATATCATATAAAATTTAATATATTTGTAGTACCTGATTTTGATATGTTGTTTATGATGTGTTTTCAGTTCGGCAGTTGAGGAATCTGCCACTGTAAATGAAGGTCATAGATCAAGTAGAGAATGGCCAAAAATAGTAGGGAGCATTTTTAATCAAGTTCGGTCATTTCTTCCACAGTGGAAGAGTGCATTTTTGGCATCATGTGTATTGGGGGCCTTAATAGATCCTTTATTCTTTTATATTCCTATCGTCAACAAGGATACGAAGTGCATCGGGTTGGACAACAGTTTGAAGGGAGCGGTTATTTCACTAAGATCAACAACAGATCTATTTTATGTAGTGAATATTGTTATTCAAATTTATATCGAACTTAAAGCTTCAACATTTAGGGTCATGGGGAGATCATATCTCCATACCATAGTTTTGCCAATGGCTAACAGGATTTGGAGGATCTCATCACACATCTTAATTGACATTTTAGCGGTTCTTCCCATTCCACAGGTATGAGAAAATTGGTTTACCAATCTCTCTTTTAAAAGTATTGAAATTCGGATATGTGAATATAAGCTAAATTAACTGTTGGCTTAATCCATTGCACTATGTCCAGGCAGCGATCCTTATTTTCATGGACTCTAGTTCTTTGAATATGAGGAAGTTTTTGGCTTTTCTTGCTCTGTTGCAATATGTACCACGAGTTCTTCGTATCTACTTATTGTGTACCAAACTCAACAAGACTCCTGCTAGAGAGACTGAGATATGGATTTTATTTCAAGGCGCTTTCAGTTTCTTTTTGTACATCCTTGCTAGTCATGTAAGTTTCAATCTTCGTGTAGTAATATATCTCAAGTGATGCTCTATTTAGTTTCCAAGTTTTGGTTGGATTTCATGGCTGGAAACCCTGTCACCAATTTATGAACAAAACAAACATCATTTAATTTCCTATGAATTATATATACTTTGCAGAAACTTTTCTCAAAAGTTTGTTCGCTAACTTGTTGATGTTCTTAGGTATTTGGAGCTTTCTGGTACTTTTTAGCTATCCAGCGAGAGACAGCTTGCTGGCAAAATGCTTGTCGAAACAACAATGGATGTGAACCTACTACCTTCTACTGCAATGGTCGTTCAATCAGAAACATCACATTTCTGAACGACTTATGCTCTATGAATCCACACAATACTAATGCAACACCCTTCGATTTTGGTATGTTTGTTGAGTCTGTTCAGTCTGGTGTGTTGGAGTCAACAAATTTACCGAAAAATTCTTTCATTGTTTCTGGTGGGGCTTGCGAAATCTAAGGTTTGAACATAATTTTGCATTACTGTATTTTTTAGAAGGAACAAAGTTACAACTGTCTAGATCCTAACGTTACTCTTTTACGTTGCCTAACATTACACACACATATGTATAAATGGTGTTTTAACTTGTAATGTCTTTAACATAGATGAGAGGTCCTAGAATATTTTATTACTTGCAGCACATTGAATTTATTACTTGCAGTACATTGAATATATTTCTTCTGTTTCGATTCTGCAGTTCTCTTGGGCAAAACCTCGAGACGAGTAACCATACATGGGAAAATATCTTTGCCATTTTTATTTCTCTAAGTGGCTTGCTCCTGGTTCTACTATACCTCCCTACAAATTTGAAGGTTGGTGCCAGAACTTCTAAATTAAACATAATGTATCTTAATTAACTTAGGGTTCGTATGGGAGTGGTTCTGGATAAGCAAAAAATACTTCTCCATATAATCACTTTAAGTAGTTTTAAGTGATTTCATGGAGAATGACATAAGATATGCTTCTCCCCTAAAGTGATTTTAGGAGGGCAGAATTTCTCCCAAATGGGCTCTTGGAGTTCATCAAACAATTATTTTGGCTTAATAAAGCTAGATGGTGATATTTTTTTATAAAAAATAAAATCAAAAAAATTATATAGAGACTAGATGTCGTTTGACAAAATGGTCATTGGCAAAGCTAGATGGTGTTGACATGGAAATTAGGGTTAAAAGAACTCATGATTGTCATGTAACAGATATGTATGGAGTTGGTAACTAGTTCATCAGCCAAGATGAGAAATATACGGCAGCAGGAAACGAAATATCGAGAGGTACAACGCTGGTTATCTGAAAATGACATCCCTGAGGATATGAAGGGGACGATCATGCAAAAGGTGGACGAACAACTTGAACCAAACAAAGATGTTCATGTGGAGAATATCCTCTATATTCTTCCCTTGGAACAAAAGAGATTTATTAAGCGACATCTCTGCTGGCCTATAATGAAGAAAGTAAGTTCCCCTCATCTCCAAAGCGTTCAATTTTTCGTTATTTTAATTAGTGAAGGGAGTACTGGAATTCCAAAATAGTTGTCTCCTTTCTTATTAATTTTATAATTCGTAGTTTAGTTTTTCTTCGTTTAACATGTCATACCGTTTAAGTTTTTTAATTAACATCTAAAATTAGGTGCCAATGCTTGGAGTTATGGACGATCAAGTGTTGAATGAAATCTTTGACAATCTTAAGCCAATGAGCTATACAAAAGACAACTATATAATTGGAGAGGGTGAACCACTTTCTAAAATGCTCTTCATCACTCACGGCGATGTGTTGACCTACACAACTAATAATGGTGCTGGAACAAGTAGTGGAGGTTCTTCAACCATCAAGTATCTTGCCAAAGGTGATTTTTGTGGAGAAGAACTTCTAACCTGGGCATCAACATTCTCCCCGCTTTCAGACTTACCCATCTCCACAAGATTTGTCAAATCCCTCACAAAAGTTGAAGCATTTGCACTCGTGGCCAATGACTTGAGGATTATAGCATCTAAATTCTGGTGGCATTTTAGCATGGATGCTCGGATGCCGGTACAACCCTCTGCAAATCTTATACAAACCAACTGGCGTTGCCACGATACAAGGAGGGCTATGAACCGAACCCTCTCAGCTCCATCGAGGAGGGCTGACTTTACATAGATTACTAGTCGTAATTCATAGAAGGAAAACACCATTAATTCAAAAATAGATTACTAATCGTAAAATAGATTACTAATACTTTAATGTGGAATTTAATATTTAATTTCAAATAAGTTTCTAAATTAGTTCCTACATCCATTACAACTATTTGGAGATATTTTTAAATTGAACAAGTGTCATTAGTTACACCCCCCATAACACATTAACTTATAAATAGGGGTAGTTTTGGAATCCTAAAAATACAATAAATCATATTTTAAGTTATATTAGGTAACTTGCTTAGTTGGATTCTAGTCATCAGGTATTATTTGAAAAAATTGGGTATTTTAAATAAAAACTAAAGGAAATGGTTGTAGGTGATTTAAAATGAATTTTATGGGTCTAACCTCAATTTACTATTAATTTAATACAATCTCCTTACAGAATAAAACTCGCGAAAAAATAAAGAGAAATGGAGACTTCAAAACACACACAAACAGCCAAGATTCGCTCTCTGTCCTCCACGTGTCCCCACGTCTCCTAAGGCCAAACCCCAAAAACCGGGCGCGAAGACTCAGATTAACACCCGCCAAATCAAAATTCCTCTTTCACCTTTCGGTGTAAAAAAAAACATAAAAAAATCCCAAAAATATAAAAAGAAAAAAAGAAAAAGCGAAGGATGTCATTTCTCTACTAATTAACGGCCACACCAAATCTACCAGATCTAATCTAACCGTAGAGAGAGAGACAAAGACAGAGAAGATACACAGAGATTTTGAGCTTGCGGCTATGGAGGAGAAGCTTATACAGAGGTTGGAATCGGCTGTGGCGCGCCTAGAGTCGCTGTCGCTGTCGGGCGGTGCGGCTGCGAGTGGCGACGACGGGCCGCTGGACCCGTCGATTTTGGCCTATGAGGATCTGATTCGGCAGTATCTGGGTAGGGTTTCGGCCGCTGCCGACAAGATTGGGGGACTGGTCTTGGACGTCACCAAGGTTCTCCAGCAGGCTTTTGCTGTTCAGAAGGACCTGCTGATTCAGGTGAAGCAAACAAAGGTCAGTCTCACTCATAAATCGTAATGCTTTCTTTGCGCTAGTAGTTTTGAGTGTGATTTTATGTGTTTTTTTTTGGGTGTCATTTTGTTTGGGTGCTGAATTTTCAGATTTACTTATGGATTGTTTGGTTAGTATAAAGATTCGACGAGGTTTATGTTTTGATTATGAAATGTTGATTGGATTTTAAAAAACGTGTGTTTGATGTTAAATATTGATGGGGTCGTAAACGTTATCCATTATGTAGAGGACCATGAAAGGAATGTGCTTTCTTGTTGGGTTTGGATCGGATTGGTGCGTGTTCATTTCATCTTGGTGAGCAGTTGATGGGGAAAAGAACCGATGAAATGTTAGCGATAATTGGGGAAAAGAAAATACGATATTTGGATTATATCAGCTATAACATAGTCGGGCAACGATCAATATTCCTGTTCAAACTTTGGTGTTGCTGACTTTTGGGGCGACTCAAATGATTAATGTTACAATTCTTAGGATATTGTGAATGTTAGTAGTAGCAAGGAGTGTGAGCTTATCTACTTTAAATGTTTTCTATCTTGTACTTTTCCTTGTGAAATGAAATTCATTATGTTCAATGGGAATGCTTGTTGTTGTGCAGAACCCTGACAATGCAGGGTTGGCTGAATTTCTGAAGCCTCTGAATGAGGTTATCACAAAGGCAAATGCACTGACAGAAGGGAGGCGGTCTGATTTTTTCAACCACTTGAAGAGTGCTGTTGACAGTCTCTCAGCTTTGGCTTGGATTTCCTATACAGGGAAAGAATGTGGTAAGCAAAATAAATGATTTCTAAGTTGTGTTAGAAGCAGATGAACTCATTCATTTTTCCAATCCCTTATTATGCTTTCGCCTTTTCAAGGTATGAGCATGCCTATCGCTTATGTCGAAGAAAGTTGGTAGATGGCTGAATTTTACAACAACAAGGTACTATGCATATCTGTGAGAATCTGGTAATTTGCATGAAAAGAATAGAATCACATGCTCTAATTGCACACGTCATTTCTCTTGCAGCATTTATCAATTATCACCAATCATGTAATGATTGCATCAAAGTAAAGTTTTCCAGTGAGTAGGTGCTGACTCTGTGATTCGTAAAATACAGATTCTTGTAGAATATAAAACCAAAGACCCAAAATCATTTAGAGTGGGCCAAAGCTCTCAAGGAACTATATTTGCCTGGTTTAAGAGATTATGTTAAGAGTTTATATCCATTGGGTCCAGTTTGGAGTTCAACTGGCAAAGCTGTCAGTGCTGCTCCATCAAAACCACAAGCTCCTGCACCAGGTGCCCCTGCTCCTCCACCTCCTCCATCAGCATCACTTTTCCGTTCCAAAACTTCTCAGGCTTCATCATCATGCCCTAAAGAAGGGATGTCAGCTGTTTTCCAAGAGACTAATTCCGGCAAGCCTGTGACTACAGGTAATTTATTTTCTTTTAATTAAAATTTTTAAGTTAATGTTTGAGGGATGTGATTTGGTTTTCTTGTCCCCTAGGTCTGAGAAAGGTAACAGATGATATGAAGACAAAGAATCGGGTCGACAGAACTGGCATCGTTGGTACCCAGGAGAAAGAAAGTCGTACCAGTTCACCTTCTTTTTCTAAAGCAGGACCACCAAAGCTTGAACTCCAAATGGGTCGCAAGTGAGTAAGCATGATCATTCTACCATGGTTAAACTACATATGAGGGATTTATTCAACCATGTAATTTTGCCTTTTCTCATTTTTATGCCTTGTGCAGGTGGGCTGTTGAGAATCAGATTGGAAAGAAAGATTTGGTTATTAGTGACTGATTCGAAACAGTCTGTTTATATTTTTGGATGCAAAGACTCTGTTGTGCAAATTCAAGGTAATTTAACTATATGACAAACTTTATTCCGAATTGTATAAATACATTGAAAGTTAAATTGTGTTTCAATACAAACTTTATAGATTCATGTTCTACACAAGTACTAAGGTACCTGTCAGGACAAAAATAAATAAATACTAGGGTTAAAAGAACTCATGATTGTCGTGTAACAGATATGTATGGAGTTGGTAACTAGAACATCAGCCAAGATGATAATTGTACGGCAGCTGAAAATGAAAGATCTAGAGGTACAATTCTGGTTATCTGAAAATGACATCCCTAAGAATGTGAAGGCGCCAATCATGCAAATGGTGCACAAACAACTTGAACAAAACAAAGATGTTCATGTGGAGAATATCCTCTCTATTCTTTCCTTGGAACAAAAGAGATTTATTAAGCGACATCTCTGCTGGCCTACAATGAAGAAAGTAAGTTCCCCTCATCTCCAAAGCGTTCAATTTTTCGTTATTTTAATTAGTAAAGGGAGTACTGGAATTCCAAACTCTCTCAGCTCCAGCGAGGAGGGCTACCCAAACCCTTGTTAACTTGCTGAGGTGTGCTGAATGAGCTGGCATGGTCACGTGATATAACACGTGAATGTTAGTTAGGATACTTAGAAGAGAAGAAAGTCTGTTAGTTATATAAAGATGAGCTTAGGCTCAGCTTGAGCTAAGTGAGATTGTAACAGATTTTGATATAACAGAAATATACAGAGCTCTTACCTCTCTCTCTCTCTCTCTCAAACCAAAACCTAGATTCCTTTTCGCCATGGTTAACAACCCTCTCATCTCCAGATGATGACTATTATGACTCATCCGGTCCATTTGAAGGACGGTAGAAAATTCCTTATTTGTATGGAGCCATTTTTCTTTAAACTACACTAATGTATATAGAGGGGGTTTGAACTTGAGTGTAATGACATATGCAAATTTGTATTACTTAATTGATGTATTTTTTTTTATGAGTTATATATTTCAATCAATATTAATATTATTTTTTTATACGGAAATTAGAGAGTATGAACTCATGACCTTAAACGTAGATATAAATTGTAACCTTTTTACTGTACGTTATTTTACTGGATGCCTTTTACATATAGTTTTATTCTAATCAGTCGTCCTGACTGGGCAATGTATAATTTGTGATAATAGTTTTGTGCTGTGCGACAATAAAATGAAACTATTAAAAGTTTATTTATATAAAAAAAAAGAGAATGATACCAGATAAATTGAAGGGTCCCACCTTACAAATTAAAAATAATAATTTGAGTTAGCACAAAAGATTCGCTCTCTGACTCAGATTAACACCCGCCCAATCAAAATTCCCCTTTCCCCTTTCACCTTTCGCTTACCGTTCAAAAGGAGAAAAACTTCCCTGGCACGGCGCCAATAAGCAATTGACAGCTGGTAACTTATTTTGCCTCAATTTAAAATATTAAATGCATTTTCAGTAAAAAAAATCTGCTCATCTACTAGCCCAATGAAATCACACTAACTGCCAACCACTTTTGACTTGTCAAATAATTTTTTATTTCACTGAAACTTTAATTCTTTTTTTTTTGGGCGGATATATGCTTCTACTGTGCATGGCATGAGAAGCAGATGTACCCGTAAAAAATTTGAGCAAAAGGAAATTGAAAGATGAGATAAAAGGATGATTTTGAACTGATAGCACCCCTACGAACTACAGCAAGACACCAATAATAACCAATGGCAATACTGACTTGTTTTACTAGGTACATTATTAGAGAAAAAAAAGTAGGTACATTATTTGAGAGAAAAAATAGGCTCATTTAAAAAAAAATTGTTTTCATAAAACAAACAATAAAAAGATGATCAAATTACTTTTCATAAAACAAGTAATAAAGAAAAAAAAATAGGTACAATATTTGGAGAAAAAATAGGTTCATTAAAAAAATGTTTTCAAAACAAAACAATAAATAGATTATCAAATTAGTTTTCAACACAATTAGAATGTACACTATTATTCATAAAACTATAATAAAAAAGAATACTTGTCGTATAATTCATAAAAAGAAAACAACATTAATTCCTAAATTTAATATTGAATTTAAATTATTAATACTTTACATAGATTACTAGTCGTAATTCATAGAAGGAAAACACCATTAATTCAAAAATAGATTACTAATCGTAAAATAGATTACTAATACTTTAATGTGGAATTAATATTTAATTTCAAATAAGTTTCTAAATTAGTTCCTACATCCATTACAACTATTTGGAGATATTTTTAAATTGAACAAGTGTCATTAGTTACACCCCCCATAACACATTAACTTATAAATAGGGGTAGTTTTGGAATCCTAAAAATACAATAAATCATATTTTAAGTTATATTAGGTAACTTGCTTAGTTGGATTCTAGTCATCGGGTATTATTTGAAAAAATTGGGTATTTTAAATAAAAAACTAAAGGAAATGGTTGTAGGTGATTTAAAATGAATTTTATGGGTCTAACCTCAATTTACTATTAATTTAATACAATCTCCTTACAGAATAAAACTCGCGAAAAAATAAAGAGAAATGGAGACTTCAAAACACACACAAACAGCCAAGATTCGCTCTCTGTCCTCCACGTGTCCCCACGTCTCCTAAGGCCAAACCCCAAAAACCGGGCGCGAAGACTCAGATTAACACCCGCCAAATCAAAATTCCTCTTTCACCTTTCGGTGTAAAAAAAAAACATAAAAAAATCCCAAAAATATAAAAAGAAAAAAAGAAAAAGCGAAGGATGTCATTTCTCTACTAATTAACGGCCACACCAAATCTACCAGATCTAATCTAACCGTAGAGAGAGAGACAAAGACAGAGAAGATACACAGAGATTTTGAGCTTGCGGCTATGGAGGAGAAGCTTATACAGAGGTTGGAATCGGCTGTGGCGCGCCTAGAGTCGCTGTCGCTGTCGGGCGGTGCGGCTGCGAGTGGCGACGACGGGCCGCTGGACCCGTCGATTTTGGCCTATGAGGATCTGATTCGGCAGTATCTGGGTAGGGTTTCGGCCGCTGCCGACAAGATTGGGGGACTGGTCTTGGACGTCACCAAGGTTCTCCAGCAGGCTTTTGCTGTTCAGAAGGACCTGCTGATTCAGGTGAAGCAAACAAAGGTCAGTCTCACTCATAAATCGTAATGCTTTCTTTGCGCTAGTAGTTTTGAGTGTGATTTTATGTGTTTTTTTTTGGGTGTCATTTTGTTTGGGTGCTGAATTTTCAGATTTACTTATGGATTGTTTGGTTAGTATAAAGATTCGACGAGGTTTATGTTTTGATTATGAAATGTTGATTGGATTTTAAAAAACGTGTGTTTGATGTTAAATATTGATGGGGTCGTAAACGTTATCCATTATGTAGAGGACCATGAAAGGAATGTGCTATCTTGTTGGGTTTGGATCGGATTGGTGCGTGTTCATTTCATCTTGGTGAGCAGTTGATGGGGAAAAGAACCGATGAAATGTTAGCGATAATTGGGGAAAAGAAAATACGATATTTGGATTATATCAGCTATAACATAGTCGGGCAACGATCAATATTCCTGTTCAAACTTTGGTGTTGCTGACTTTTGGGGCGACTCAAATGATTAATGTTACAATTCTTAGGATATTGTGAATGTTAGTAGTAGCAAGGAGTGTGAGCTTATCTACTTTAAATGTTTTCTATCTTGTACTTTTCCTTGTGAAATGAAATTCATTATGTTCAATGGGAATGCTCGTTGTTGTGCAGAAACCTGACAATGCAGGGTTGGCTGAATTTCTGAAGCCTCTGAATGAGGTTATCACAAAGGCAAATGCACTGACAGAAGGGAGGCGGTCTGATTTTTTCAACCACTTGAAGAGTGCTGTTGACAGTCTCTCAGCTTTGGCTTGGATTGCCTATACAGGGAAAGAATGTGGTAAGCAAAATAAATGATTTCTAAGTTGTGTTAGAAGCAGATGAACTCATTCATTTTTCCAATCCCTTATTATGCTTTTGCCTTTTCAAGGTATGAGCATGCCTATCACACATGTCGAAGAAAGTTGGCAGATGGCTGAATTTTACAACAACAAGGTACTATGCATATCTGTGAGAATCTGGTAATTTGCATGAAAAGAATAGAATCACATGCTCTAATTGCACATGTCATTTCTCTTGCAGCATTTATCAATTATCACCAATCATGTAATGATTGCATCAAAGTAAAGTTTTCCAGTGAGTAGGTGCTGACTCTGTGATTCGTAAAATACAGATTCTTGTCGAGTATAAAACCAAAGACCCAAATCATTTAGAGTGGGCCAAAGCTCTCAAGGAACTATATTTGCCTGGTTTAAGAGATTATGTTAAGAGTTTCTATCCATTGGGTCCAGTTTGGAGTTCAACTGGCAAAGCTGTCAGTGCTGCTCCATCAAAACCAAAAGCTCCTGCACCAGGTGCCCCTGCTCCTCCACCACCTCCATCAGCATCACTTTTCAGTTCCGCAACTTCTCAGGCTTCATCATCACGCCCTAAAGAAGGGATGGCAGCTGTTTTCCAAGAGATTAATTCCGGCAAGCCTGTGACTACAGGTAATTTCTTTTCTTTTAATTAAAATGTTTAAGTCAATGTTTGAGGGATGTGATTTGGTTTTCTTGTCCCCTAGGTCTGAGAAAGGTAACAGATGATATGAAGACAAAGAATCGGGTCGACAGAACTGGCATCGTTGGTACCCAGGAGAAAGAAAGTCGTACCAGTTCACCTTCTTTTTCTAAAGCAGGACCACCAAAGCTTGAGCTCCAAATGGGTCGCAAGTGAGTAAGCATGATCATTCTACCATGGTTAAACGACATATGACGGATTTATTCTAGCATGTAATTTTGCTTTTTATCATTTTTATGCCTTGGGCAGGTGGGCTGTTGAGAATCAGATTGGAAAGAAAGATTTGGTTATTAGTGACTGTGATTCAAAACAGTCTGTTTATATTTTTGGATGCAAAGACTCTGTTGTGCAAATTCAAGGTAATTTAACTATATGACAAACTTTATTCCGAATTGAATAAATACATTGAAAGTTAAATTGTGTTTCAATACAAACTTTATAGATTCATGTTCTACACAAGGTGCTAAGGTACCTGTCAGGACCAAAAAAAAATAAAAAAATACTAGGGTACTTTTATGAAAAGCCTGTGCTACTTAAAATTGTTTGCCCAATTTGCAGGGAAAGTAAACAACATTACAATTGACAAATGCACTAAGATGGGAATCTTATTTACGGTTAGTGTGAGATTAGTAATGGAAGCAATACATATTGATGTATCTAGGCTCATTGTTCTGTTCTCTTGTGAACACAGGATGTTGTGGCTGCTTGTGAGATCGTAAATTGCAACCGTGTTGAGGTGCAATGCCAGGTACCAATTATTCCCATGAAAGTTTTAATGGTTCTATGACATGAAATTGGATGTTTCCGATGTTGCCATCATAATTTTTGGACATCAAAATTGAATTTTTGTAGCGTTGTCATCCCAAATATCACCATTCAGTTGTTTCGTATACGATGATATATATAAAACCATCTTGTCATCTTTGTTATATGCACTATCTTTATTGCTATTTTAGGGCTCAGCTCCTACAGTTTCAGTGGACAACACAGCTGGCTGCCAATTTTACTTAAGCAAAGATGCCCTGGGGGCATCTATAACTACTGCTAAGTCAAGTGAGGTCAATATATTAGTACCTGCTTCTGGACCTGATGGTGATTGGGTATGTTTCCATGTCTATTCTAATGTATTTGTTTGACATTTTCGAAGATTTCATTGTTTATTCTTCCCTGGTACTTAAAGTTATCTTGGAATGCAAGCTAGTGGTTTAGAATCTAAATGGTTCTTTGACTTCCTAAACCTAGCAAGCTGGGGAATATATCTAGAAATCTGTATAAATGCTACATATTTTATTTTGACTGAAAGCTTGGCTAAATTGTTGTGTTACTGTATTACTAAATGTGTTACCCTTGTTATATCCAGTGTTGCTTGAAATTTAAGTTGCATATTTAATTGCTGAGAAATGGTAGAGCGTACAACAGTCTTGTCTTTTCCTCTCATTGGTAGATAGCATTCTTAATATGCATCTAAGTAGTGGTGATATACACTGATGGTTGAAGTTGAGCTTCCATCTGGTAGTTGCCTGAGAGTGTTTTTATATCTCATATGGATGCTGGCCATATCAAGTATCTGCGTTCTTCAAAGTGAATTTCCCTGTGTTATAAACTTTCCAGTGACTGGCCTGTAGCTAGGTGGAAGGTGGGATTTTAGGGTTAGGCTTGAAGTCCATGGTTCTGAATGTGATCTTCTTAAAATTTCTTTTTTATTAAAAAGTTCTTAAAAATTAAGAAAAAACTAGTCTACCACAATGGTGGGTTCACATGTTTAATGGTAGGAATACTGTATGCTTTTAGTTGGACTACATTACTGTTTTGCAATATATGAGATATTTTTACGTGCTTGTATGTCAAAGAGCCTGAAGAAGTCCTTTTATTTGTATATGGTACCTACATAATTTAGTTGTTGTAGGTATGTAGTAATTCAATGTGATATTTTAAGGTACTAATATAGCATTACATCTGGGGACATACTCCAATGTATTAGGATCTTTATTTCCTACTTTGGCCCTTTATAGCTGATACTTCTTTTTTATTCCAATCAACTATATTTCCACTTTCTACCTATATTAATTTGGAGTATCATATAATGGTCTTATTTCCTTAACAATTATGGGTTACCAAAAAAATTTGAAAAATATAAATCATTTCAGTTTCTTGACAATGAGGGATTGCGTGTAGTTTCTAACTGTTAGTTTCCTTGATAAATTTTCTGCATTAAATGGGAAATGCATATTTTCTGATCAAATTAAGAAGTGAGAAGTAATTAGTATGTTGGTTTTTTGAGCTTACCATTTACATCTTTAATGTTGCAGGCAGAGCATGCTTTGCCAGAACAGTTTATTCATGTGTTTAAGGATGGTCGGTTTGAAACTACCCCCGTCTCTCACTCAGCAGGAGGGTAATTTGGACTCTTTCGGTTGCTGATTAAGTGCTTGCGTATCTTTTATTTTAATCATTTATTTGGATGGGTTGAGGGGTGGCTTCTTTCTATTTTCTCCTTTATTACTCTTGCTTTCAGTATATAAGGGTGACACATTCACAGCCTTGCTGGTTAAACTCTTATCAGTCTCACTGGTTTTTTGTTGGCGTATCAAACCAGGGGATTCTTTTGCATGTCTCGTAAACAACGAGTCTTTTGCATGATTTTTCGAAAGTTTGTTTCTAGATGAGTGTTGTAGCGAAGTTTTTGCATCTGCGAGTGAGCGGGAGTGAGCATTTGTGCGCTTGTAATGTCAAAATTTGTTCTTGATTATATGCTTGTAGTCATCTTCTACATTATCTTGACATAGAAGTGATGTGTTAAAGATGGAACATTTTTTGGCTCGGAATTTGTTATTTTACTGAAGGGGGTTAAATTTGTGGTTGGACTGTAAAAATTTGTATTTGTAAAGTCGAGAGGTGTCTGATAAAAGCTAAAAGCTCGTCCAAGTAGAAGAAAACATGTTAAGCAAATGTGAAACTGTTGAATCCTTGTTCAATGTTGACCGCATTTGTTATGCTGCTGGAATTGTTTATACAACTACTACAATGGGGTTTTAATGAGGGGTTTAATCCAACAATCCAATAATAAATTTGTATTGGATCCAACGGCTATTAAGGACTCCTCAATATAACCCCTCATCCTAGTCTCCCTGCCAAAACAATGAACAGCCATTGGCAGTCTGATGGCCCAGCTTCTTATTTAGGCCTCTTTCATGCAAGAAAAACTTGCCTGGAAGGGGGGAGTTGCGTGATGAGAGACAAAGGAACAAGGAGATATATCCCGTTGACATGCAAGTCTCTCAGCCAACTCACTTTCGGCCCTTCATGCATATTAACTTTTTCATATGATAATGTGTGATTATCTTGGGATATCGACACGGTGGCATCCTCATTTCATCGAAGTTCTTCCCTTCATAATCCTTCCATCCGCCTAGTAATCAACCCGAGGGCCCCAAGTCTCTTCGCTATCGCTACCACATTTCCTCAGCATATTTACTCACCGTCCAGCCTCAAAGTCACTCACCAAGTCTTCTCCAAGTCTTCTCCCCAAGTCTTCTCCAAGCAACCCCCAACTTTGTAGTTTGGTTGGCCCACTATTAGTTTCCATCATCCTTCCATTTCATAAATTATCATTCACCAAAACCTCAAGAGTTTTCATTCTTTCTGTTGACTTGACTATAAAGATTATTAATTAAAAGGGTAGGTAACAACAAGAACTTGCCACGAATTTACAGTTTTAAATCCTTCTGTACTTTCCCCTCGGGCAAGTTTTTCTTTCAGCTCTTTTCCACAACACAATAAAATATATATATATATAATAATAATAATAAAAGGTACAGGAATACTTTTTCTTAAGCAAAAAAAGTTCCCTTTTCACATTGCATTTGAATTCTAAGTTTCCACACGCGGTAGGTAGGTGTTGCTGATGCTGATCAGATTCGCAGAAGGAAAGATTAATGGTAGCGAACGCAACCATGTCGGGCTCCATCCTAGCTTTTAACATTTCTTTTATTTTTTTATTTTTTATTTTTTATGGATGTTGCCACGTGGAAGTTCATGATTGGGTCGACTGTCTGTATGACAAATCTGAGTGATGTGGAACGAACCCATTCGACTCAGATGTTGAATTCTTAAAGTTTATAGTGGACTAGTTTACGTAGCATGACCAAATCCAATGTGACGTCGAGCGATTGTGGAAGAAAGGTCAATTAGATATAATCACTACTATATGACTGATCCATTCTAAACCTTCAACCCTAGAAGAAGGATGAAATGTCTATCAACACAATTTCTAATTTACTACAAACAAGTATATTATGTAATTGTGAACTAATTATCAGTTGTTAGTCTGGTGTTATTTATCCTTATTTAAAGGAGGTTTCATAATCGACTCACATGAATTCGGAAAAACTATATTTTTGTGATGAGTTCGATATTTAAGCGTGAGTAACTCTTTATAGTGATGTTGGCGTAGCTTTGTTAAAAGTTAGTCTCACATGCATATATTTCCAAATATTCACCAATCATTAGAGTACATAGAAGTGAAGTTTTGGCCTTGGCGTTACGTTAATGACAACATTTTTGCTCACTATACCATAGTAATTGGTGGGGAAAATTAAATTTACGGTTAGATGAATTTCACTCATCTAACTGCAATTACCGTGGTGGTGAGTCACCGCCATTTGGTCAGAAAAATACTCCAAAAAAGAAGTTTGAGAGACACGTGGGTCCTCACCCCACTAGTTCACTCCAAATCCTGTCCAGCTAAGCTAGTTGAAAATTCACTCTCACTCTCTCTCTAATAATCTCACCTTCTTACCGTTACCTTATCTTTTGTTTACAAACTTCAATTGTTTTTTTTCTTCTTTTGGGGTCTGACGTTGCCTTATATATTCCTGCGTTGTCTTCCACACTCTGCACAAGCAGCAGAGCTTCAAATCAAACAGATCATGGCATCGCTTTCACACCTCCCCATCTTCCTCTCCCTCCTATTCACCGCTTTCTATTCTGCAGGTAATCACTTCCTCCCAAAACTTTCCCGGAATTCTAAAAAAAAGTTAACACTTTCCCGGAAAAAGAAACAAACCTTTAAAATTTCCATAATTGAATTAATAGAACTGTTCAGCTCCATCAAACTTTCTGTTTCAATTACCTCGTAAATCGTAAAACCCCCCGAAACGCACCGTTTCATCTAACGACTCTCTGCTCTCTCTTTTGCTAATTGCAGCTTCGCAGTCCTTCATCGGCGTCAATTACGGCCAAGTCGCCGACAACCTCCCTCCGCCGGCGGCAACGGCGAAGCTACTCCAGTCCACTGCCATCAAGCGCGTCCGGCTCTACGGCGCCGACCCGGCCATCATCAAGGCCCTCGCCGGCACCGGAATCGCAATCGCCATCGGCGCATCCAACGGCGACATCCCGGCGCTCGCATCCGATCCGAACGCGGCGGCTCAGTGGGTGAACTCGAATGTCCTCGCCTTCTACCCGGCCAGCAACATCGACCTCATCAACGTCGGCAACGAGGTCCTCTTCTCCAACGACCAGGGCCTCATCTCGCAGCTCCTCCCCGCCATGCGAAATGTCCAATCTGCCCTCTCCGCCGCGTCCCTCGGCGGCAAAGTCCGTGTCTCCACGGTCCACGCCATGACCTTGCTGGCCCAGTCCGACCCGCCCTCGTCTGGTCGGTTCAACCCGGGATTGCAGGACGTCCTCAAGGGGCTCCTCGCCTTCCAGAGGGATAATGGGTCGCCGTTCGCGGTCAACCCATACCCGTTTTTCGCGTACCAGAGCGACCCGAGGCCCGAAACGCTGGCGTTTTGCTTGTTCCAGCCTAACGCGGGACGAGTCGACGCAGGAACCGGGATCAAGTACATGAACATGTTCGATGCTCAGGTGAGTGGCTTTTTTTGTTTTATTTTTTTTCTGAAGTTCTCACGAGTCGGGTGGGTCGGGTTTAGGCTTTTTTCGTGAATTGGCGTGGGCCCACCCAGTTTTGAAACGTTGACCTGTGAGTCAAATCGTCAACGGACAATCGTATACGGTTGGTCTTTGCGTCGTTTTATACGACTCATACGTTATGAGTTCACGACATTGCCGTAGGAATTTAAGGCTCTTAAGGGCCGATGCTCCTCTGTGGCGGTTCTTATTGTTATTAGTCCTTGCAACCATGAACCATATCCCTCCCTCTAGTACCTTCCATTCTTTCTCTACCCTAGAAAATTGGACACGTGAAATGACAGGATTGGTTAAAAAGGAAATGAGAGAAAAATGTATTTTACCATGTTTAATTTACACTATCACTTGTGTTAAAAAAAAAATAAGGTTAGGTTTAGTATCTAAATTGTTAGCAAAGGAAAATGAGAGAAAAATGTATAACTACTATACTATCCCTTTACTGTTAAGTCTACTATTTTATTTCCAACCAAAAAAGAGTTTATTATTTATTTAACGGATTATTTAGTAACCATTTCAATTCTAGTTTTAAATTTTTGTAGTGTGAGTAATATTATTCTTTGTATTATTGTCCTTTCTTTTTTAAGTGAAATGATGGGCGCATTGAAACTTATCTGATGTGACCTTAACATATATGCATGGTGACAAGGTCACAGGCTGGCCATCACAATAATTTTAGATAGGTACATGCATGATATGATTTCCATTTGAGATTGGATTTATTAGATTTGAAGAAGGAAAAAAAAAAAAAAAAAAAAAAAAATCGAAGTGATGTCGTCTCGTCGACAAAAGTAATAATAATTTGGGACCACCATAACCTCTTACTTTTGGACAAAATGTTAGTGAAACTTTAGTAACACTGTTTTCTTTGGTCATCTTTGCAAATTCAAATCATTGTGATGATGGCGTTGGATTCTTTCGCAGTAGGAAGATTATGTAATTGATAATGACTGCCTAACTAAATTAGAATTTGGAGAGCTTCAATAGTTTGCTTCGGCTCGGCTGGCCTTTGTGATTTTGAAGTCACTGATTTGACATTAAATTCATGACCCAATTTGAATGTGCAGGTTGATGGCGTACGGTCTGCCTTGAATGCAATTGGATTTAAAGACATTGAGATTTTGATTGCTGAGACTGGATGGCCATACCGTGGGGATAGCAATGAGGTTGGACCTAGTGTTGAGAATGCAAGGGCATATAATGGCAATTTGATTGCACACCTTAGATCCCAGGTTGGAACTCCATTGATGCCTGGAAAATCTGTCGAGACTTATATCTTTGCACTCTATGATGAGGATTTGAAACCCGGTGGGACCTCCGAGCGGTCATTCGGGCTGTACAAGCCTGATCTAACCGTGACATACGATGTTGGTCTCTCAAAGAGTAGCCAGGTGACACCATTAAAACCTTCTAGGGAAATGGTCTCTTACCGCACATTTTGATATGTCATATATATATTGGTTGGCTGTCAATCTAGGCCATTAGCTAGGTAGATTGTCGGTTAACTATTTAGGGTTCAGGGTAACATGTAGAAATTTTATTTTTTACAATCTTCATGCTTAATGATTAACCCTTATATTTATATCCTCAGACACCATCGACGACACCTTCGACACCAAGAGTGACTCCTTCACCTAAGCCTAGTTCAGCATGGTGTGTGCCCAAAGCTGGCGTTTCTGATGCTCAATTGCAGGCAAATCTTGACTATGCTTGCGGCCACGGCATCGATTGCAGTGCAATCCAACCGGGAGGCGCCTGTTTCGACCCGAACACCGTAGCATCCCATGCTGCCTATGCCATGAATCTGTATTATCACACTGTTGGGACAATTCCACTCAATTGTGATTTCTCACAGACAGCAACTCTCACATCCTCAAATCCCAGTAAGTTTTCCTCACCTTTAGAAGCACATATATGAAATTGCCCATTTCGACCATGATGGGGACACACTTTACGAACTGAATGATTAGAAATCTAAAAGATTATGAGCTTTTGATTTTCTAAATTAAGTCTTTCAATTGGTTGCAGGTTATAATGCTTGCACTTACCCTGGTGGAAATACATGACTACATGGTGGTGAAGCAAAGAAAATTAATATGATATCTAGTGACGGATTTGTGAAGATTAGAAATCAACTGAATATAAGGAATAAGGTCTTGGTGTGCCTTTTTTTGTTGTTAATTTATTATATATAGCCCTTTAATTGTAAAGATTCCTAGTTTTTATTGGGAAATCTGTTAATTGTAAGAACTCTAGTATACTATTTGGGAATGTGAATGTACTACTTTTCTCCTTTGCCTACGCAAATATAATTGGTAAAATTTGACCGTTGATAAAACAATTCACCGATACATTGGATGCACCACACAATTTACGCGTAGACTTAGTAGAAATTGTGTGGGGGTTTGTAGGACTCTTTTTCTAAAGAATATATAAAAAATGCAACGCTAATGACGACGGGTAAATAACTCAAGAGTCGTCAGATGGATATGGATTTCATTGTGAAGTTTACATTAACCAAAGCGTTATCAAATACTTATTCTAGAAAAATCCATTTCAGACCTCTAATCTGATATGAAAATGAATATTCATTAGTATAATGATACTTCCCAACTCAAGAACTACTACCAGCAACAAAAGAAAAAATTTGACAGTCTCCTATGCGTCCAAATGCATCAATATCAACATATGTCAAACATTAATGTGTATTAACAGTTGACAATCGCTCGTATACCCTCGTGTTCAAGTAACATGATCATGTGGTTATATCGTCGTTGTAGAAAATGCCGTATACCATGCACCACCACACACACTCTCTCTCCAATCATAAAGTGGGCCGCGTTTTTGTTGTTGTTCCATTGATGGCAACCTGAAATTGCCACATACAAATGATAATGCAAGCATTGAGAGGAGAAATACTTATTAGTTGTAACGGAGATATTACTGTTTTGTTCTTTTCGACCAATAATGTTTTGTAACGTGAAAATATAGCGGTATTAACAAGAGCGAGCAAAATAATGATATTCCCATTTAATGGAAGTATTTCTAGGCTCTTCTGCTCTTAAAAGTATGAATATTACTTCTTGTGACATATCAAACAAAACCAAAAATATACATGTTAAAAATTCAATGCAAACTGTTTTTGTAAATATGCTATCCCGAGAATATATTCTCCAAATGAAGAGATAAAAAATGAGTGATCCACTGCAATGAAGATCGAAAGCTCCATCCTTGGCCTCAGAGATAATGTTGTGATGCCAACAACATCAATATAATGATAGCATATTTTTATCTTCTGAGTATCTGAACTTTGTTTCCCCTCCAAAACTCAGCTCTTCTGCACCATTGATGGTGTGATATGTTATCATTTGTAGCATAATAAAGAATCTTTTTTTTAGAAGCAACAACCCGTATGGCAATTCAATTTCACCATGTATATCGTGAATGAGGCAATTCAATTCCACCATGTATTTAGTTAGTTCATCTGTTGAAAAATTCCATAAATCTGATAGATCAAAAGTGAAGCCCACGAAAATAATTCTGGAAATCACAATAGATTTCATGACTGATAATGGAAATCATGGGGTGGCAATGATTCATTTACAAAAAACATAGATTATGAACCCCAAGTTGAAGTTTGATCATTTCTAGCATTTCCTGTGCCTCAACTTGCATCAGCTATGAATAGTGAAAATTCAAGAAAGTAGAAGAAGTGCCAGAGGAATAAGAGCTTCATTTTTAGACATTACTACATCTCCTAAGATAGATAGCACATGCATCCTTTTTTTTTTTTTTTTTTTTTTATTTAAGAATAAAATGTGGAAATAAATTTAATATTTTTAGTTTTTCTATATATAAAGGGAGAAAAAATGTGAAATTTTCATATAACCTTCAAATACCCTTTGTTTGAAAAGAAATCAAAGGAAAACAATTTGATATGATGAGGACAGAACAGAATGATACAGAGCAATTTATTTAAAAGAAAAAAAGAAGAAGTAGAGAAATAAAACAGACAAAAAAAAAGGGAGCACCACATATAAACTCTTTATTAGAACCCAAATAACAAAATACAAATTTATAAATAGACCCAATCATAGACATGTATTTATAAAAAAACTCAAGCATTATTTAAACATAGAAACACACCCAAAATCAACCCCAAAATCAACAATTGTATATTTTTTGGGTGTGTTTATAAATGGGTTTTGAGTGTGTGTAATGATGGATTTTGGGTGTGTTTATAAAGTGTTTTGGGTGTTGGGTTTTTTTATAATTTCAGCCCCCATTTTGGGTGTTTTAGTGAAACATATCCACATCGAAATTATGAAGAAAAACAAAATTCATTTGACTTTTATGCGCACATACTAAATGCGTTTTCGCTAGAACTAAATACAATTTTGTTGTTGTTGTTGTTGTTGTTGTTGATAAAGTGATATTAAGGGATGAAGGTTTTCTCACATACGCATTATCAAGGTGCAATGTGGGTTCGAACCTGAAATCACTGGTTTGCAAGTGAAGACCTTTTTTTCACTAAACTAGACCCTGTTGACCTAAATACTAAAACTTAACTCACGATGCAATGAGTTTATAGTTCAAGTGATTAGGCGTTGTTTGGTGGCCTAGCTTGGATTGAATTGGAGTTGAGTTCAAGCCAATCTTGTGAATCTCATCCCTCTATGTGTGATTTGTAAAACACAATATGTTAGATTGTCATCTATTTGAATAAATTTAGTCCCCAATATATTAAACAATAATCTCATGTCCATTTTAATTGAAATAGTCCAATTCAATTCCATCACCAATGTCGCCGGAGGTCCTAAAGTTGGAGTCATTCTTCCCTCAATATTGCTTTGTATATATTAAAAAACTCAACTCATGATTAAATTTGTTTAAATAAAAAGTGTTCATACACCATAATTAAGCGCAGCCAACAAAAATGTACACGTCATCCAAGTATAATAGTAGCATTCACATGTGAGTTGTGACTTGTGGAGCTATGAGACTCACACGGTGTCTCCCATCCAGCACACCTCCCCAGAAAAAAAGCCAAATGGACCGACGTGGGCCCCGAGCCGCCAGTCGAAATTACGCTTCTACCCTCACGACCCATGCCCAAGTCACCAACCTCTTCACATCACAGCTCTCACTCTCTCTGCCAATCTCAGAGACTCGTTCAGAGGCGAGACCACAACCACCACCTTCTCCCTTTTAACCTTTCACACCTTCCTGTACTTCCCCGCAAGTTTGAGCTCCGGATTCAAATTGAAGAAGAAGAAGAAGAAATGAAAACCCTAATTTCGCTTTGAATCGGAGGAGCTCTTTCACTTCCTCTCCATGACCGGCTTCTAAGCTCGAATTCCGAGCAATGTCAGTCGCGGAGCTCAAAGAGCGCCACGTGGCGGCTAGCGAGACCGTCAACTCGCTCAGGGAGCGCTTGAAGCAGAAGCGAGCCTCGTTGCTCGACACAGATGGTATGGTGTGTGGGTTTGTGGTTTCCTAAATTATCAATGGATATTATTATTATATTGGTCTTTTTGGGGTTCGAGATCTAATTGGTTTTTGATGGTGAATTCTTGCAGTGGCTGGGTATGCAAAGTCTCAGGGGAAGACTCCGCTCACTTTTGGCCCCACCGATCTCGTTTGCTGTAGAACCTTGCAAGGTCATACAGGAAAGGTATGATACTTACACATACATATACGTAATACATATACATCATATGCTTTCTGTGCTTGTGTGGTTTTTTTGTAAAAATGAGCTTCTTTTGAATGCACATTCATATGGGTTAATGGAATTGTTGGGCATTGGTAGTTTGAAGTGTGCTATTCAGAATAAAAAGCTAATTTTTTTAGATTTTGAGTATGTGAAATTCGTACTAGTGGGGTATGGCTAGTTTGGAGAGTGTCGACTATTTGTTGAGGGGGAAATCATGCCTAACAAAATGTCCACAAAAGCACTAGATGCTTTATTTAGCAAGTTAGGTACAAAAGAGGGGAAAAGACATTTACAAGTTTGCAAAACAAAAAAGGGGATAGGTTGATTAGGGATATGGAGTAAGTTAAATGTATTGAAGACAGTGGTCAAAAGTATTATTAATAGGCAGTGACATTTTAGGTAATACAAAAATTATTTTCCAGGATTATTAAGTCTGGAATACCTTAGGAACGAAAGTGAAAACAATAGACCATATCTATGGATGGAAAAGTCCAACCAATGGACCAAAGGTAAGAGGATTACTTATAATGATCAGGAAGAATCAAGTTGCACGGCCTATATAAAGGGTAGCTCGATTTACACCGAAAGAGTAGCTCTCTACGTCCATCATTTCTTAACCGAAGAACTTTATCCTTCTACACCCACATTTCCAAAAGATAATTAAGAAAAAGAATTCTTTCAAATAGAAACCATGGTTGGTTGGGTCTGGATTTAGCCATTTCTTCTTTCATTTTCTTTTGAAATCATGGGTGTAGGTTAACATTTCCCCTTTAAGAAAACTAAACGTGTAAGAGAGCAACTCTTTGGGTGCAAAAAGAACCGCGCATGGATAAAGTTACTCTATAGTTTTCTGGAGTTGAGTGGCTAGCTATGTTCTTTAATAAATTTTGATTGAAAGAGAAATGGAAAATGAGTGGAGAATAATCAGTGTGGCACTTTGATTTATAAAATTAAATTGGATATACGAAACTTGGGAAATTATACAGGAATTAAATTAATGATTCAAGTAGATTTAGATACGAAACTTGGGTACAGATATCAGATACAGAAGAAGATATGAATTAATCTCTGAAATTAGGATTCTGATACAGCAAGGATATGGAAATAAGTTAATATATTTTATATTATGTCTGTGTATAGTTCGTTTCTTCTGCACTTCCTCTCCTCTAATCTTCTTCTGTAGGATGCAAGTAGAAAAACCCTATCCCGCTGTTTCTGCGTCACACCAAGTAAAAATAGCAGCTTCTACTTTCCAACTACTTTCCCTGTTTGTGTAATCTTTTCTTCATATTGATCCTTAAGTTTACGCCAGATTCTCATCACTTTCCCATTTAAGTCGGGCCAATCTCTTTTTAGGGTTCCATACTTTGGGACTTTATGTAATAATGTTGGATGGTATAACAAAGGATATGCAAGACAATATCCCATTCCATGGTGTATAATGTCTATTGATGGCATTGTTTTGATACTTCTAAAGAAACTATAAAGATGGGGGAACGCGTTAGAATTTATTCCATTCTTTGTAGTAATGCATCTTATTGATGATGGGAAAGAAAGTGTGCAAGTCATTGCAATTTTCCAAATAAAGAATTGTGATGATAGAATAGGAAGTTTACTTAGATTTAAGTCAATTTGATGAGGTTTGTTGCCACGCTTTTGGTATCATAATTTCATTAAACCCTTCTGACAGTTATCATAGTTCGATAGACAGCAAAGTTACAAAGCCTTAATTCTAAAATTGCTTATTTTTATTTATTTACTTCTCTATTGATAGATTAGCAAATATGATATGAAACTCTGTGTGTAAATATTGAGCTGAAGACTGCAGAGTAGAAGTATTAAAATCCATATGATTTTCTATTTACTTCTTGTGCTCTTTGCTTTTGCTTATGAGTTATGGCTGTCTTGTGTTGTGCTTGTCTAGTGCTAAACCACTACAGACTATCTATTGCTAATCACTCTTATTTGTTTTACTTTTGGACTTCCAAAGTAATAAAACCAAGGTTACATTTAGTTACTGTAACTATGATTCCACTTCTAAGAGGATGAGGTTAAATAGGATTTATGCTCACTAAGACTTACTGTTGCAGGTCTATTCATTAGATTGGACCTCTGAAAAGAATCGAATTGTCAGTGCATCTCAAGATGGACGTTTGATAGTATGGAATGCACTAACAAGCCAGAAGACTCATGCCATAAAGCTGCCTTGTGCATGGGTCATGACTTGTGCTTTCTCACCAACCGGACAATCTGTTGCTTGTGGTGGTCTTGATAGTGTTTGCTCTATTTTCAACCTGAATTCCCTGTGTGACAAGGACGGGAATCTACCTGTATCAAGAACACTTAGTGGACATAAGGGTTATGTTTCCTCCTGTCAATATGTTCCAGATGAGGACACTCACCTGATTACTGGATCTGGTGATCAAACATGTGTCTTGTGGGATATTACTACCGGACTCAGGACTTCAGTTTTTGGAGGTGAATTTCAGTCTGGACACACTGCAGATGTACTGAGGTATATCGGGTGGTTTTAAATGGCTGTATATATAACATCTATTGCATCAGGGTGTTCATGTTCAATGAATACCTGCATATTTTACTTTTCAGCCTTGAGTTGTTAGGCAAAAGGAAAAGGAAAAAAAAACAAAGGTCTTACAAGTTGGTACATCTGAACAGTAGAGATTAAAACTACTTAATAACTTGTAAACTATAACTCATAAAAACTTGTTCTTTTAATTGATCTGCTCTGAAATTCTGCGATTTAGCAGTTTTCTGGTTCGTTATGGGCGACATGTTCATGTCCATTGATTTTACAATGTAATGGAACTGTTTGCTCTAATTTATTCAATGCTGAGAGAAACTGTGTCTACAGTTTTATTTTATTTTATTGTCGGTATTGAAGGCTGCTAGTGTAGTTTTCCCTTTATTTGTACCTCTTGTTGTTTATTATAGGATTGGACCCTGTACATCTGCACATTAATTAATCCCGACAGAAGGTTTTTTATTCTGTATAAATAAGTTTAAAAGAATCTTCAACAAACCATAATATTGCCTCCGTACCTATTGGTTTTGCTTTCCTATCATGAGTACTCTAAATGTAACACTCACCTCACTGTTTGCATTCTTTCAGTGTATCCATCAATCAAAGCAACTCAAGATTGTTTGTCTCTGGTTCTTGTGATGCAACTGCCCGATTGTGGGACACTCGTGTTGCAAGTCGAGCAGTGCGGACGTTTCCTGGTCATGAGGGAGATGTGAATGTGGTGAAGTTTTTTCCGGATGGAAATAGATTTGGAACTGGCTCAGATGATGGAACTTGCAGGTTATTTGACATCAGGACTGGGCACCAGCTCCAAGTATATCACCAGCAACATGGTGATAACGACTTCCCGCCTGTGAAAACCATTGCATTCTCAATATCAGGAAGGCTTCTCTTCGCGGGATACACAAACAGTGATTGCTATGTATGGGATACTTTATTGGCAAAGGTATTTGTAATATAAAGAAAGTTTGATTCATGTCTACATATGCTTTTGCATGATCAATTGAGCGCACTTCGTTTCCTAAGAAATTATTACTGCTGATGCCTTTTAGATCATGTTGTCTCGTACTTTCTAGTTTAGTGTATAAGGATTTTCTTCAGCATGTATATAGTCAACTTCTTGCACGGGCAGTACTTTACATTTATATGCAATTGATTTATAATTAATTTTCTTCGTATTTTAAGTTAGACTTGAGGTATATAAACTAATATCTATTTCTCAAATATTTCTTGTAAATAAAAGCATAACATGAATTCTGGTCACAAAAGATAAATAAGTTTGGAGTTAGGATCAAAGGTTGGCTGGGTGATCAGTGCATATTTTTCTTTTGACACTGGAACACAGCAGAGTGTTCTGTTCATGAAATAAGTCAACCTACTCAACTGTAATTTAGTAGATGATATTCTGTAGCTCTTATTTCTCCCTTGATTTCTGTTTCTCTTAGCTTCTAGCACTTGAGATAATCTGAATATAATTCTTACTTGGGTGAAAATACTGTTAAGATTTTTGTCTGTAATAGTTATTCTTTAAAAAAATTACATCTCAGATTTGTCAATATTTTCTGGGTTAAGTTTATTGCCACATGCCCTGCCTATACTGTGAGATATCATAATGTCTAAATAACATATAGCCTTGCATGCAGTTTGAAGAAAAAAATTAGTTCAGCAAACGTACTTCAATACCTAAGAGGGGGAAAAGTAGAAAGAGTAGCGGTTGGCTTCCACCTTGAACAGTTATGATTGTCCATGATGCGTCATATGAAATTTCATGCTTCGAATTTTTAAAAAATAAATGTGGAATACTTCTAAAATGTCTTAAGTCATAAATTAATCCTGCCGTATGAAATGTCGTACTTCCAATGTGTGTAATACTTTTAGAATGTCTATGTCATAAATTGATTCTATCAATCGTGCATTTTGATTTTCTTCCATCCTTCTATCAATATTTACGGATTTGTGTCAGTGATGTCATTGGATGGAATGGCTCTAATTGCTCTTTCATTTTGTGGCAGGTGGTTTTGAACTTGGGATCCCTCCAGAACTCACATGAGTCCCAGATTAGCTGTTTGGGTTTGTCAGCTGATGGAAGTGCCTTGTGTACAGGAAGTTGGGATACAAATTTGAAGGTTATTTTCCTAAGGCCTGCCTCTGTTATTTCATTTAGGGCATGCAACGTGCATGGGAAACAACATTTTTATTAATATTTGTTGATTTTTTCTGCAATCATGAATGCAAATAGAAGTAGAGAAAAAGTAAGGCTGTGTAATGTGATGTTTCTGTTGCAAGCAGCACCCTTTTTAGACACTTTGACCTGCAAAATTATTTTTCTATGTATGATGTACTTATGAAGTATAATGCTTTTGGTAACTTGGCCAAATATTTTCTAGTTTATTCTATAACTCTGAGATTCATAAACCTTGAAGAGGTTGTAGTAACTTGTAACTTCTGTGTGGCATTTTAAGATGCTTTATAGAGCTGAAGCGCTTATAGTTGTTGGAATTTTGCCTTCTTATCGGGTAGTGTCTTTCTTTGCGTCTGTTTACTCAGTATCTTTCATTCGTTGTATCTAATCTTGGAAGAATAATACCGCATTTAAGGACCACATTGTTGATTACGTCTCTCATGAGAATACAAGTCAATCCCCCATGGGTGTCATCTGTGCAAGAGATATGGTCAGCGCTGTGGTCAATAAATATGGAACAAATAGTTTTGTTGATCTTGAAAATTGGAATCAATTTCCTTACAAAACAAGTTAAATTTATTTCAGTACTATAATGTTCTCTGGGTTAGATTCATTGGAGTATCTGACTATAATAAATGTTTGTTTGTTGGGTTGATAGACCTTGCCATTCGTTGTAAGACCATTAATATTCTTGGATCAGTATGGTCTTATTTGTTATGTCTATTGGTCCCTTTTTATGGTAGTTATGTTGGGTTTCTTCTTTATATTCTCAATCAGTCCACATGCGTCTTTCATTTTCTGAAATATGACTTTGTTTTGTGTTTACATTGCAGATATGGGCGTTTGGAGGCCATAGGAAAATAATTTAAGCCTATTAGGGAGCAAACATCTCCTTTTTGTATCCTGAATTTCAGCTTCTCTCAGACCCACGGTTCTCGATGCCTCTCATAGTATATCCTTTGTACCTTTCTGTGTTGTTGATGAAGATGCTGGGTATGAGAAACAAGAATCCTCTAATGTGTTGCTTGTTGTAAACCTACTCATTGGAAAGACTGACAATTTTAATATTGAGCAAAAGATACATATACGTTTTGTGAGAACGTGGGCTTGAGAAACCGCCTCATCTGCTCTTTGCCTGAATATTTTCCCTCTTCTGTAGCTACCAATCTCACACCATGTAGCTTTCCATTAGAATGTTGTAAATGACTGTTTCTTTTTCCATGTGTGGTTCTCTTCCGGTATATTTTACACATTGATGCAGTTATATTTTGTGTTAAAGAGTCTATGCTGCAAATTGATATTTAGTCTTGACTGATTTCGCAAGGACGCCCCAATTTCGTTTAGGGAGAGATACATTTCGGTTTCTGCAGTTTGTTTGAGTTTACAATTTCGTCTTTGTAGTTTTAAAACGTACAATCATGTCCTTGTAAAGAAATGGAACAATGGGAAACAACTACATTGTGGGGATGGGAGAATTTTGAGAAGCTTAATCAGTTGGTACTTCTATGTTAATCATTAGGAGATGAATTTCTCATGGAGATGAGTACAATGGGATGCTGAAAATTGAACTGAGAGTTGTGTTGTGTACCAAAAGAAAACTGAAGGGGAGTTCGAAGGAGTGGAGTAGCTTTGTTTGATCATGGTATGGTTTGCACAAATGTACGAAACCCATTTTTACTACAAATCCGCTTTGCATGCAGATGTGGGTTAGACCTTGCTCTCTTGCATTTGAGTTTGATCATCCTTTCTCGTGTTAATAGTAGTTTATACTATCCTTGTCTTGAAATAAATAAATTTAAAAAATTTACTTTGTCTAGCAAAACAAAACCAAATGGAGATGTGAGGTACTGGTGGCAATTTGTTTTAAACGCGCCATGTTATTTCTTGTTTGTGATAAAAATACTTAACTCTAACCTAACTTATCCTTTAATCAATTGTTTCAAATTAAAAAAAAAAACTCATCCGTTTCTAACTGTGTCTTGTTCAGATTGATTGACCCCTGCATATTGTGAGCCATTAAAACGCCATTTTTTTTTCAATAAATGGAGCAATGAACCTTTTTCTTTATATAATACAAGTTCAATGTGTTCTCTGTGTAAGATGATTTATTGTCTGTCTAGGACTCGGTATTGATCAAGAACTCAACATGTACTCGTCCAGCTCCTTTTATTTTTTAATCAGTGTTTAAGTTAAATATAAAGGCTAAGGGTTCTTAGTTTTATATGTATTGGGATTCATTGTTCTACTACTGTTTCTTGATGGGCAAGACACCTTGAAGGATCCTTATAAATAGAGAGCTCCCTCCTAGACCGACACACAACTCAAAAGCATTCACCCAATCTAGAATAAGAGTATGAGGCGTCGACATCTAAGGAGAAGAATCTCTCTAAGTAATGTTCACAATTTCGACAACAAGGCTGAGCAAGGTTAGTGTTTGAGTTTTATAAGTTGTTAAGATTAACACCCTGTGTCAAAATGGGATTACTCACTTGACTCTAAGTCGATTTTATTATATGTGCTTAGTAGGTCGTCTCATACTAGTGTTCATGTCATTGTCAAGTAATACTTACACCATTCTTTATATTAGTCGATTTTTGTGCACCATTTTCATTCACTAATTTTACCTCATCACACATGAAATCAAATGTATTTCGTTTACCAAAATTCGGTATTTGGGACCTCACAACTTGGACTTGCTGCTTGATTCTTGTGTTCGATCATAGACTCAGTGTAAGCCTCCTCCAGATCCAAAATTCACAGAAACACGTAATAATTCCAAAAAATTCACCAAAAAATACTACCAGCATATACTTTTATTATATGAAACAAGTTTTCAGTTTTTGAAAAATGAAAACTAAAAACTAAAAATTGAAAATTGAAATGGTTATCAAACGGACTCTTAGTCTAGCGATATTTATCTTTCCAATATCAAAAGTAAGTAACCATCGTTGTATTAATGCAAGACATTTTCATGAGTGAATAAATACCCAATAAATTGAAAAATAGAAGGTACAGGCCATTCGTATTTCAATCGGCATTTGAAGTAAGTCGCACGGTTTGGGTTTGGTACTTCATGGGTAGTTTTGAACTTTCCTCTTCTATGAAAGGGTAATTTAGAACTTCTACTCCTACTGGATCCACCAGCACACATGACGTGGCGTGCTCCCATAAATCAAACACCGTCAGCACCCCTAGACCCACACCCGTAGAGGATCCAAACTCCATCTTCTAGTTCATCTGATCTGAGCCCTCTTTAGGCTCTGTGTGCGTTTGTTTAGAAACAAAGCCTCGTTTTTTTTTGCTCTTATTTCTTCTTCACCTTCAAAACCTCACTAACTACGCTCAGAGCGGGCCAACGAGCAAACATTTAGAGAGAGAGAGAGGCTAACAGGTCCGTACAGTTTCTCTAGATCTCAGAGATTCATTTGGCTTTGCGATGGCTCAGCCTCTCGTGAAGAAGGACGACGATCGTGACGATGAAGGTATGCCCCTTCCACTCATAGACTCACAATTTTTCTCGCTCTCCAAATCGATCTGGTTTTCACTCCCAATTTTGGTTAAATTTTGGGCCTCTAGGCTGCAAATTCTTATTCGGCGATTTGTGCTCCCAGATCTCTTTGTTTATAGCTGTTTTATTCCCAAGATTTACGTACTTTGAGGCGTTTGAATGGGATTGCAGTAAATTAGGGTTTAAATATTATTGATCTGCTTCACTTTATGCTGATCTGGTTCATTTATAAGTTTTGTTGCGCCAATGTTGCAATGTGGAAACTAAACTTATTGCAAATCTAATTGGTTTTTCTTGATTTAGTGTGAATGGTCTAGTGATTTGGATCTTGTAGCCTTGTTGATTGGCTCGGGTTTGGGGTTATTAGCAATGTCAATTCTCTGAGTTTAATAGTAATTAGCTGCTTAGTAAGGCTGTATCTTTTGTGATGTTGTTCATAGCAGAGTACTCTCCGTTTCTGGGGATCGAGAAGGGTGCTGTTCTTCAGGAAGCCAGGGTTTTCAATGATCCTCAGCTAGACTCTAGAAGATGCTCTCAGGTTATTGCTTTGCACCACCGAATTATCCATCTAATCACATTTTCTCTGTCCTCTTGTTTGCTCTGCAGAAATTAATGTTGGGTAATTTGCATTGTTTCGCATTTTCAGGTCATTACGAAGCTTCTGTATCTACTGAACCAGGGAGAAACCTTTACAAAGGTCAATTTCCTTCTGTACTGAATGGTTCTGTTGCTTCCTTGAATCAGTGTCTTAAGCGTCAATTTTGTTGATCTACTTGCAGCATTGTTATTGCATTATTGCTCATTAATTGATTCATGTTATTTGGAATTAAACTGATAGGTTGAAGCTACAGAAGTTTTCTTTTCTGTGACTAAACTTTTCCAATCGAGAGATATAGGATTGAGGAGAATGGTTTATCTGATCATAAAAGAGCTCTCTCCCTCTGCGGATGAGGTGACATAACTTGATATGATTTGATTTCCTCAATATATTTGCATGCACAAAGATTGGGACTGACTTCAGATATGTTTCCGATGACAAGGTTATTATTGTGACAAGCTCCCTGATGAAGGATATGAATAGTAAAACTGATATGTATCGGGCAAATGCCATCCGTGTGCTGTGTCGGATTACAGATGGAACCCTTCTGACCCAGATTGAGCGGTATTTAAAACAAGCCATTGTCGACAAGAATCCAGTGGTTGCAAGTGCAGCTCTAGTTAGTGGGATCCATCTACTCCAGGTACTGTTTCTGTTATCCCCAGTTGCAGGATTTAGTTTTTGCTGAATTTGCATCTTACATTCCTCTTTTGACAGACTAACCCAGAGATTGTCAAAAGGTGGAGTAATGAGGTTCAGGAAGCTGTCCAGTCAAGAGCTGCCCTCGTACAGTTCCATGCACTGGCTTTGCTCCATCAGGTATGTGTGATTGGTTTGGTTGGGTTTTTTTTTGAAAGTATAGAGTAATTTCTTAGTCTGATATCCTCCCTATGGTTAGTTTACCAAAATAGCTAACTAATTATTTGCATTCATAGACATATGTTGGGTTCATGTGAGCAAGTGCAACAAGCAGGCTAGGTGTGAAGTGTGTGTAATCAGTTTCTATTTGCATAGCCATAGTTTAGCTTTTTAACTCTTTGCCATGGACCTAGTTTCCTTGTTTTGGTAGTTATGCCATATAGTTGATTCTGGTAGAGGAACGGTCATTTTTAAAGTTTTTATATGGAATATAAAGAAAGATTCTTCATCTACCCAACAGCTATCCTTAGATAGGATTATATCGATCATGTTTAGAATTGAAAGGTTTTGAGGAGATTGTACCTTTGAAACTGCAGATACGACAGAATGACCGTCTTGCTGTTAGCAAGTTGGTTACCAGCTTGGTTACCAGCTTGACAAAGGGGACTGTCCGTTCACCATTGGCCCAATGTCTATTGATCCGATATACTAGTCAGGTGCTTATTCTGCTGGAAATTGTTAGTCAACTTGGTTTTTTGGTGCTTTATTTTAATTAATTATTTGTCTAAAGGTTATCCGTGAGTCAGCTGGAAATGCACAAATGGGCGACCGTCCTTTTTATGATTATCTTGAGGGTTGTCTTCGCCACAAAGCAGAGATGGTGATTTTTGAGGCTGCCAGAGCAATTACGGAGCTCCATGGCGTGACCACCAGAGAACTGACTCCTGCAATCACAGTTCTTCAGCTATTTTTGAGCTCTTCCAAGCCAGTGCTAAGATTTGCTGCTGTCCGCACTTTGAACAAGGTTTCCCTCTCCTCCTACTGTACTACAAGTTGCATATGAAATTTATGATAATTTGATATAATGTTATTTTAGTTTCTCTTTTGTTGGTAAATGAAATCAGACTGACCTTCTGTCATGAATTTTGCGCTTGTAGTTTTTAGGTAGATGTGAAATCCTATATGAAATGAATTTGATTCTATGATCAATGTATTATACATTTATCCATACCATGTAGGTCTTGATTATCTGGCTTTTTTGTTTGGAAAAAAGCATGTTGGTCCTTGTTACTTTGATTTTAGTTGTTTTATTGATTCTTGGTAAATATTATTCCTGATATATTACACTAACATGTTTGAACTTTTTTCAGGTGGCAATGACACATCCAATGGCTGTCACAAACTGCAACATTGATATGGAGAGTTTGATTTCTGACCAGAACAGAAGCATTGCCACACTGGCAATCACCACACTTTTGAAGACAGGAAATGAATCAAGTGTGGATCGCTTGATGAAGCAGATAACTAATTTCATGTCAGATATTGCTGATGAGTTCAAAATTGTAGTTGTGGAAGCCATAAGATCATTGTGTTTGAAGTTTCCACTGAAGTACAGAGCTCTGTGAGTGGGATATCAGATACAGTATTTTTTTTTGTTTCAAAATGTTTGGTTTAATATGGTTATTAGTTTCACTGCACATATTCTTATTTGTGTATATTTTTTCAAATAACGTTCCTTGTCTCTCGTTTTCCACAGGATGAACTTTCTCAGCAACATTCTCAGAGAAGAAGGTGGATTTGAGTACAAAAAGGCAATTGTTGATTCAATTGTGATTCTCATAAGAGATATCCCTGATGCAAAAGAAAGTGGCTTGCTTCATCTTTGTGAGTTCATTGAAGATTGTGAATTCACCTATCTTTCTACACAGGTGGAATTTTTCTCTATCATAAACTTGTTAAGAATTTAATACTTTTAATGTTTTTTGGCTGATTGAGTTATTGTATTGTTAGATACTCCACTTTTTGGGTATTGAAGGGCCAAAAACCTCTGATCCAAGCAAATACATACGGTATATTTATAACCGAGTACATCTCGAGAATGCCACTGTTCGAGCCAGTGCTGTGAGCACATTGGCAAAATTTGGTGCTTTGGTTGATTCATTGAAGGTGATATCTTTTTAAATGAACAATGTCTTCTCTTATCTTCCCCCTCTTTACTGCAATGAGTTTTGTTGCTGGCTATGGTTACTGATAAAAGTAAACAATTTTTTTCTTCTTCTATGTTTCAGCCACGAGTATTTATTCTGTTAAGACGATGTCTCTTTGACAGTGATGATGAGGTATGCTATATCTATTTTGAGGCTATACGTTTAGGTTATACATAAATATGTGACATATATGCATGAGCATTGATCTAAGAATAGGTGTGTGGCTCTGAGCATTTGTCTGTATCTTTGTTTGTGTTCCTGTGCCATTGCTTTCATGTTTTGTTTGTTTTAGCTTTGGGATTAACTTAATTGTTTTAGTATTCTCTGTCCTTCAGAATATACTGAGTAGTTTTCTCTTTTCTGCAATTTCCCAGGTTCGTGATAGGGCAACGCTCTATCTAAATACGCTTGGAGGAGATGGTTCAGTAGTTGAGACTGACAGTGATGTAAAGGACTTCCTCTTTGGGTCTCTGGATGTGCCACTTGTCAATCTGGAGACAAGTTTGAAGAATTATGTGAGTAACCTCCATTTGCTTTTTCCATTTTTCCTTTAAGGTCCTTATCTCATGTTTTCAGGAATGGGTTAATGCCGATTACAGGAGGCTTCAGAAGAACCTTTTGACATTAATTCTGTACCCAAGGAGATTAAGTCCCAGCCACTTGCTGAGAAGAAAGCCCAGAGTGAAAAGCCAACTGGTCTGGGTGCGCCTCCAAGTGCCCCTGTATCCACAGTCGATGCTTATGAGAAGTTGCTTTCCTCCATTCCGGAGTTTTCAAACTTTGGCAAGCTATTCAAGGTTCTGCAACGTGAATATTTCCTCATACTTTACATGCATGTTACAGCTTATATATATATATATTTTGCTTTGGAATTTATTGTGTACCTTTTCACGTATCAGTCCTCAGCACCTGTGGAGTTGACAGAGCCAGAAACCGAATATGCAGTTAATGTTGTCAAGCACATTTTTGATAGTCATGTTGTATTCCAGTACAACTGCACCAATACCATTCCCGAGCAATTACTGGAAAATGTAATGACTGGTTATTTTGAAACAGCTTTTTAATTTTGTAGCTCTCCTTGAGATTTTCTTTATAACTCTCTGTCTGCCAGGTTATTGTGGCCGTGGATGCTTCAGAAGCAGAGGAATTTTCTGAAGTTGCATCCAAGCCTCTCGCGTCTCTTCCTTATGATACACCTGGACAGACCTTTTTGGCATTTGAGAGGCCAGAAGGTGTCCCCGCAGTCGGAAAATTTTCAAACACATTGAGGTTCATTGTTAAAGAGGTACCAAGTTCTACCTTTATCCATGTGCTTAGATTGTGTTTCTTGACAGCGAGAACCAGATATGGGAGTGAAACTGGCTTTAGCTAATAAAACTATGGAAAAGCTATATTTGTTTTTTGAAGTTCTATATAATCTGCAAGTCTTGTCATCCACAACTATCACATGGATGGATGTCTTGCTCCAAGCTTTTGCTAAACTTCACCACAAACCTTGTTGGTTAATAACACTGGTTGTTCTAGTTCTCTTCTCATAATACCTTGCTCCTTAAATTGGATTTTGGTGACTGTACATCTTTCTTCTATGGGTTTGTTTTGTGTGCATGAGAATTTTTTAATTGTGTTAATGAAAAAAGACTAGAAGGTTGGCTTCTAAGGATATACACAATGATATACAATATGAAATATGAAATCGTCAGAAGTTTTGAGCTTTGTCTATTTTTTCTTATGAGTTGGGTGTGTGTCACTAGGTTGATCCAACCACTGGCGAGGCAGAGGAAGATGGTGTGGAAGATGAATACCAGCTGGAGGATCTTGAGGTTGTCCCTGCTGATTACATTTTGAAGGTTCCAGTCTTCAATTTCAGGAATGCATGGGAAAGCATGGGCCCTGATTTTGAGCGGATAGATGAATATGGCCTGGGACAAAGGGAGAGCTTGACTGAAGCTGTTAATACTGTCATCAATCTCCTTGGACTGCAGCCCTGTGAGGTAATTTGTTTTAAAATCAAATGTTTATCATTTGTCGATTAGGCACTTTTGGATTCTTTCGATGTAGTGTTGCCTTACATGTGCTTTTTTAGAGGTCGAAGTATCCCTATGGATACTCAATGGGTACATCACTTCTAATAATCTGCGTTGGATACTTCACAAATGTATTTTAACTTTTGAAAATAAATTGACTAAATTATATGTATGTGTATATTTTATGCCGTATTTTCTCGGTGTGGTTTCAGGGCACAGAGGTTCTCGCCAGCAACTCAAGGTCACACACATGTCTATTGTCTGGTGTATACATAGGCAATGTGAAGGTCCTTGTGAGGTTGTCTTTCGGAATAGATAGTTCAAGGGAGGTTGCCATGAAACTGGCCGTTAGATCTGAGGATGAAGCCGTCAGTGATGCCATTCATGAGATTGTGGGCAGCGGCTAGTTGGTTAATACAGGCGATCTTTTATTGATACGACGGTCTTTTCATTTTTCTCTAATGAGAGCACTGGCAGAGATGGCTGTATACAGATCAAACATTTTGTAGAAAGAATTGCACATTACTACATTTGAAAGTTGAGGGGGCTTGCAAGAGGTCAATTTGCATTTTTATCGAGCATTTGCCTGCTCATCTGTTTAATTAGTAATAATAGTGGGAAGAATCGTGTCAAGCTCATTGGATTGACTTACCTTTTACCCTATATTTTTTTGGTTTTTCTTTTCTTTAAATTCAAGTGTAGTTTTCCATTACATTTGTTAATGTACAAGACATGAATTTTGAAGCACTCTGAATTACAAAGAAGTGAATTGTATTGTTTGGTTCTTCTGGTATTGAATCTGAATATCTGAAGATTGGAAAGGTTCTCTCTCATAGGCATGCATAATAATGATTTCTTGTTTACTTTCATAGTTCAAAGTCGCCTCAGAAAATTTCTTCCTCCCGCACGGTACTAGACCCTCAGAAAATTTCATGTTTACTTTTATATTGGAAAAATAAGATGGTTTAAGATCTCTTGCGCACCCATCGTTTACAAGCTGGTTTTTAGGCGCAAGTTCTATACATCAGTCTCTGGTAAGGAGTGCTTCAAGGGAAGGCTATTTTGTCCTTCTTAGTTAACTTCTAATTTTTCTTTTTTTTTCCAAAAAAATGTTCATCATGCATTGCATTCTTCTTAAGGAGCTACTTTCAATTTTGATGTTCTAAATCATGATCAACTTGAAGTAGCTAGGTTATTGGCGTAAAAAGAAGAGATAGCCAGGTTGGGAAGATGGATTTTAGGTAACAAGAGGGTCATAATTTTTCCAATTTTTACACTATTAGAAATCCCATGTCACCATTTGGATGGTTAATTTGTTTATAAATCAGGATACTACCATACTGCAAAAGTACATTGCAAGCAATAATATTACTCTTTACAGATTACACTCATGGCAATTAATATTGGTTTGCAATTTCTGATACCTTAATTGTAAATTACCTGGATATTCATAAGGCAGAGAAACAATACTACTCTACTGACAAAAATAGAAAAGAAAGAAAAAGAGAAACAATGCTACTCTACCCAAAAGTTCTATTCCCGTAATTTAGATTAGTTTAAAGTAGATTATCGCTTGTATCAAAAAAAGAAAAAAATTGTAAATTACCTGGATATCCATGAGGTAGAGAAACATTACTACTCTAGCCAAAATTTCCGTCCATTCTCAACTATCACCAATTCTTAACAATAATACTTAGATATAAAATATAGAAAATACAAACACACGAGCTACCAATTCCTCCAAATGCATGTGTTTGTTTTACATTAGTAGCAAGTACATACAAACACACATAGCTAGGTTCACCCATTTTCCAAAAGAACGTAAGAAAGAAAAAAGAAAAAAGAAAAAGAAAATTACAACTCCTCCATCATTTGGTGTGCCCCATGTTTAATGGAATGTCACAATTGTGCATCTACCACCATCTTTACCTACCTGAAATTAATCAGAGGTATACTTGGTAATTAAGCAGTAAGTTGCATACATGGCCAATACAAAAATGTCTGCAGGGAAGAGTGACACACAATATTGTCTCTCACTTTTTCACATGATACACACACAAATATTAGCATCATCAATCTTAATTTTAACACTAATTAACCTGCAGAATCTTTATGTTTCTATAATATAGTACTCCGAAGGTTATAAAACCAGTTCTGGGTTATCTTGTTCGATCGGTTCGGTCCATGTTCCAGCTCATTGTTTGCTGATCAAACTGGACCTTGTGGCCGGTTCATCCCTTTCTTGTTGTCCATCTCTTGGGAGTGATTGCTGCTTGCAGAGGTGGAGTTGTGGCTGTACTCGCTTGTGGGCCCGTATTCACTGCTTGGATAGTCTGTGCTGTCAATCAGTGCCGGCTTTCTGAACGGCTTCATTTTCGCATTGTACGAGTCAGCATCAAACTCAGATGAAGCAATGCTGGTAGAGCCGGAGCCAAACTGCCCTTTGATCCCCTCGTGCAAGTCTTCCATTGAGACATCGCCTTCCAATGCACGAACAATCTGTTCATAAATAAAAAACATTTGGTTACGTAAGACTCTATGCATAGCACAAGATCAGCACCAAAAACACAAAGATCAGTCTATAGTAATGGTCCTTTATTTTATACCTGGCTCATTCTTGGTCGCTTCTTCGCAGAGTGTCGAACGCTCGCAGCAGCACATGCCACCATTCGTGCCACCTCTTCATGGTTATAATTGTTCTCTAGCCGTGGATCCAACACTTCAGAATAGTCCCCAGTATCTATTGCTTTCAGGCAGCGAGGCCTAGCCTGTTGTTGATAATGTATAGTGCAAAGAATTACTCATATGTTCCATGTCAAGATGCAAATCAATTATAAATTTGTTGAAAATAAGCAGTTTAAATGCATGGCAGGATACAAACTGTCAATCTGGCACTAATGGTCGGTCCCAAATTGACAGTCTAGTAACATAACATATTGTTTTGTTTAACAAGATAACATAATTTATATGTTTATTAGGGAGGGAGAATACGAACCCAGTCTACTAAGGTATCCTCCTCATATTCCCCAGACAAGTCCACAGGGCGGCGTCCACAGATGAGCTCCAAGAGCATAATACCGAAAGAGAAAACGTCGGACTTCTCGGTTAGCTTTCCACTCGATGCGTACTCAGGAGCCAAGTACCTGCATGATAAGTTTGATCAGTTTGTTTCCATCACATTACCTTTCATCTTCTGTGGTTAGTTTGTACTTTAAAGTACTATATGAGTCAAGAAATTACCCAAATGTTCCCATGACACGGGTAGATACATGAGTGACATTTTCCTGGTTCAGCTTTGCCAGCCCAAAATCTGCCACCTGAACAAATCATGCATATTAGTAATTAGTATATACTTAAATCAATTAGCAATCAGCCAATAAAAACATTAATTATATCCTAAAATGTCTTAAACTTTTTCTAGGCTAAAGCTATATGTAACAACATAAATTAACCCTACCTTAGCTTCGAAGCTAAAGTCAATCAGAATATTTGCAGCCTTAATGTCGCGGTGGATAATCTTGGGGTGACCTGCAAGTATCAAAATACACTATAACTAAGGTACCAGAGAGCAATAGATCAAAAGAAAAGATAGCTGCAGTTTCACAAATTACTTACAGTCTTCGTGCAAGTAAGCAAGCCCTTTAGCCGATCCCAACGCAATTTTGGCCCTGTGACCCCATTCCAAGGGTGGCCGATTTGGTCCTGTAAAATAGTGATATTAATTAAAGACTTGTTAAATTACCAACTTTTAATTACTAACTAATAATAAAGGATTTCATTTTAAAGTTATATGCGAGTCTAAGTATAAACAAATGAAATATTGTCACATTAGTTGAGAAGTCGAGATTTAAAGAGTTGGAATAATAGTTTAGTTGCGTACCGTGGAGGTGGAATTCGAGGTTGTTGTTAGGAACAAATTCATACACCAACAGCTTTCGTTCTCCTTCAAGGCAGTACCCCACAAGCGACACAAGGTGGCGATGATGAACACGACTAATGATCTCAACCTCGGCTGCAAATTCACGGTCGCCTTGTCCGCTACCCGCTTTGAGGCTCTTCACAGCGATTTCCTTGCCGTTTGGCAACACCCCTTTGTGCACGTACCCGAAACCACCTTGGCCTATTAGCTTAGCTGGCGCAAACCCTGATGTTGCAGCCGCCATCTCATCATAGGTGAAAGTGCTCTTGTTGAACCCGAGAGCCACATTAGGGTGTGGTGGCGGCAAGGGGGGACCATGTGGACCGGAGAAGTTGGAGGAACTCATTTCGCTGCTCATCATGGGTGGCGGTGGAGCTGTGGATGTAGTCCAACCTCCATTGGGTGCGCGGCCAGAAGGAGGCATGTTCATAATGTGCTCGGTACTTTTAGGTCCAGTGCTTTGCCAATAGTTACTTCCTGCTCATGCACATTACCCAAATTATATAAATTATAAATTAGTCATTAAGGTTGAAAAAATTAAGTACAAAATATTAATTTCCATCAACATTACTATTATTTATCTCCAAGAAATAATCAAGTGCCATCAGGTAGGATAAGATTTTAAAATGACAATTTTATACATAAGATATCCATGGGGCCACAAACTAAGCCAAGATGATCAATAAGAATGTCCATGCAAATTTTAAAAAAAGAAAAAAAGAGTATAAAAACTATATCATTAGATTTAGAAGAAGAAATTAAGAGTTTGAAGAGTTGGAGTTTAGACATTACCATTTGGATGATATGGCTCAGGGTTCTCCATAAGGTGAGAAGAAGTTTGTCTCTTCTTCCTCCTCTTAGAGCACGCCATGAAGAAGAACACCATGACAAGCAACAAAACCCCTGCCGCAGCTACAACTCCTATGATGATGGGCGTGGAGCTCGAACTCGAGTGCGAAGGCGGCGGTGACCCATCATTATCAGGTGATGGATGGGACTTGCCTGATATGGCTGGGGGTGACCAATTATTGGACGATTTTGGTGACCAATTGTTCCCATTGGATGATTTGGGTGGCGACTGAGAGTTATTGTTGTTATTATTATGGTTGTTGTTGTTGTTGTTTTGATTGTTTTGGTTGTTTTGGTTGTTTTGGTTGTTTTGGTGGTTGTTGCCGTTGCCGTTGCCGTTGCCGTTGCCGTTGTTGTTGTTGTTGTTCTGATTCCCTCCATTATTGTTATTATTGTTCTGATTCCCTCCATTATTGTTATTGTTAGAGGAGGACGATGGAGGACTCTTTTGAGAATTGGACTGTGGAGGGGACTTTTGGTTTTGGTTGTTTGAGTCATTTGAGTTGTTGTTTGAATTGTTGGAGTTGTTGTTATTGGAATTGTCGGAGTTGTTGTCGTTGGAAGGCGGTGAGTTGTTCGAGTTGTTGTTGCTAGGAGGCGATGAGTTATTCGAATTGTTCGAGTTGTTGTTTGAGTTATTCGAATTGTTGGAGGAGGAGGAGGAGCCACCGGAGTTGTTAGAGTTATTGGAAGAGTTACCGCCGGAAGACTTGTCGGAAGGCGGGGATGAGCTGTTTGAGTTTCCTGAAGATGACGAGCCGCCGTTTGAGTTGTTTGAGGAGGATGAGTCGCTTTTAGGAGGTGATGAGTCCTTTGGAGGTGGGGATGATGATGAGGGCGGTGAACCTCCACTTGAACTTGAACCTCCACTCGAACCTGAACCTGAACCCCCACTCGAACCTGAGCTTGAACCCGAACCTGAATTCGATGATGGTGGAGAGGGTGATGAGGATGAGGATGAGGACGACGAAGATGGAGGAGTTGGCGATGATGATGAAGAGTCAGATGGTGGGGTATCCGATGGCGAATTCTGATCGTCAGAGGACCCCATTTTTAGGAGTTTCCGACCAGAATAATCGTGGGTCTGTGCCGGAGAAACCCCACCGCTCCTTTGAAAGGTGAGCCTGTTGATGACCCCTAACCACAAAATTAGTTAAACAATTAATAAACAAGTAAACAAAACTTATTCATCAGTAATTTCAAAAACAAACCCAACAAAATCAAAATGAGAGCTTAGATCAAACATAACTGCATGCATGCATGCAAAGAACAAATTAATTAAGAATGTCTAAATCATGCATGCATTGTTGGGTGTACCGACGTACCTAGCAAGCTAGGTACATGTGGTTGTGTGCTAGAGAGAGATAGAGATAGAGATAGAGAGAGGAGTTTGTACCTAAAGCAGAAGGGCATGCAACAGGGGAGGATTCTCAAAGGAGGGACAGAAAACAAGGTTGCATGGTAATAATTCCATCTAAGGAAAGGAGGAAGCCATGGAACAGATCACCCTCCGACAAAGCAGGAGGATTTTCTCCACCCAATTTCTATTTTCAAGCAAACCTTTCTTGTTTTTTGCTATTTTTGGGTTGCACTTTTAATTCTTTGGTACAAAACAGACCTAAGGAGTTCAAATTGTAGTCCTCGTTGATCCTGTCCTCTCCTCTCTACCTCTTGTCTATTTTAAACACATATGTATACATTAACAGACGCAATTAACACACTTAATCCTTGTCCAAAAATAGTAATTAGAAAAAACAAAGATTGTTACGGTTGCAAGATTATGTCTTTTTTGTAAAATTATAAACTTCGCTTCTCAAACAATAACAAGTCACGTGATCAGCATGTACGAGTTCAAATATAGAGTTTGTACGATTCCACCCCGCCTCCTCTTTCCTCTTTCTCTTGTCACTCCCCCATCCTCTCTCACATGCATCGTTCCCCAACCACATATAGAAAGCAATCTAGCTATGAACCCTTTGCACTCCAACCGATCACCCACGTGCACAGAAAATTGATATGATTTTTCTCATTTTTTTCGTAGTATACAGAAAGTTGACATAATTTTCTTTTCTTTTCTTTTCTTTTGTATTTTCTAATAATACGAAAAGTAATATATATATCTTTTCTTTTCCCGGCCAGTGAGGAGCTTGAAAAAATAAAAAATAAAATACAAGCTTTAATAAAATAGTTTCTAGTAACAAGAGGAAAAAAAACTTGCACAATCCCTCGTAAAGATGATAACATATAAAGTTTCTCCTTTATATACCAAAAAAAAAAAAAAAAAAAAAAAAAGAAAAAATGAGTCACCTATGAGTCACAATATTTTCTTATGTCCCCAAATCTTTCTTAGATGTATTGCTCACTTTCCCTCGTCTAATTTCTAAAAAGTAAAATTCTCAGCAAAAAGAAGAATCTAATAAGGAAAACACTATCATATGTCACATAATTAATTGGTTATTAAAAATTTTTGGTAAAATTTTGATGACTCAATTGTTACCTGAGCCTAGGACTCAATTGTTACGTGAACAAAATTACATGAGTAAAATCGTCAAAATTAAAATGATGGAGACTAAAGCGAAAAATATATCAAACTACATAGACCAAGAATGTAACTTGGCCATGAGCTTTTCCTCTTGCTAGGGTGCAATGGTGGTTCTTTTTTGCTAGATACAAGTAAATGGTGGGGTTTACTGTTACTAGCTTCTCCGGAGGAGCTATCGTGTGCCGAACACTTATTTTATTTTCCTTAATTTGGATGAAATATGGTTGTTTTTTATTTTTAATTTAAACACATGTTTGTTTTACTGTTTTACTATTTTTTGTTAGTCTTTATTGCTGCCATTTTAATTAGCAGAGGGTATTTGTCCAAATTTTTAGAAATTTAACTATAAAAGTCTTTAACTATATATAAATTAATATAAATAGGTGCATTTATAGCATGAGCGTTCAAGCGCTAAAAAATTAGTAAGTTAATTAATACACCGTAAATCATTTGTTTGGGTCCAATCTATAATGTCATATCATGATTTGAAAGTTCATTTTTGAGGTTATCATTGGAAGGTCACCATTGCAAAAAGTTAGTCTAATAAAAAATTGTTTAACCATTTGATTATTATATTGAATATTTTCATTATTTTATAAAACAATTGTGTTCCTCTATTTATTTGATTTATAGTTAGATGTTGTCTGATTTTACTAATTTTTTGGTTACGAACCAATGGAAACATAACAAGTAAGAAAATCAATTGGATTGGTTCATTTTACTTGGTTTTCAACATCCTAAAACCAACATGATTTATGAAATCAACATCTAATACAATCCAAATCCAATTAGAATTAGACTGAATTTGCCTAGTTTGGTCAGTTTAATCGATTTGGACTGGATTTTACACCCTAACAAGAAGTACAATCATTTCCGAAGGAACAACTATTCATCTATTGTACAAAAAAACACATCTATAACTATTTATCAAAATAAAAAAAAAAAAAAAAAAAAAAAAAAAAAAAAACCAAGAGATCGGTAAATTCATAACTTGGCAAAAACTTATCCAATTCTAACTTTTAATGACTTTTAATGAATTTAAAAGTCTGAAGGTATTCAATTGTGACTTTTAAATAGTCTTTAAAAGTTTAGTTGTATTCAATTGAGTTTTAAAGAGTATTTAAAAGTTTTGAGGTATCCAAAATGTTAATGACTTTTCAATACTTTTGAAGCTAATTCTTACTACCAAAAGTCTTGCTAATTTACACCAAACTTTATGAAAATATTGGGAAGCTAGGAAGATATAACCAAAACGTCTCCAATTCTTTCTTCCCTCGTTATATCAAGCAGCAAGTAGATAGGTCTTTTTTCTTCATGGTTAGGGCTCCACTTTGGTAACCCATCTTGTCATCCACTTCCTTCAGTTCAGGTTAGTAAAATTTTTTGAATGTTTTTCTTCTCTTCTCATCCACACGTGTACTTTCCCTCTGTTGATGAATATTTCTTCTATTCTTTTCATCATGCTTGCATCCTGAAGCTTATCAATATTTCATCACAAAGCTATGTTTGCGTACAAATATTTTATTATATTGATCGTCTCATATGCTATGTTTGCATACAATATTTTATTATATAATTTTTTGCCCTTAAACCCATTAATTTATTATTTAGGTACTGTTTCTTTACCCATAATTCATTATGTGGATAATTTTTTCGTATAATATTCTCAATTTGATTACATCGCACGTATTGGGCTAGGAGAATTACGGGAATATAGACTCTTGTAATCTGACCATTTCTGTTGGTTTGTGAGTGTTTATGAAATATTGTTGATGATTGAGTAATATTTATTTCTTTTGATAAGAATATGTTACTTATCTATGTCATTAGATTTGATAAATAAAAATTTAAAAGGTGCATTGGATGCATTTTACTAATAAGCTATTATGAAAATATACACAATTAATAAGGATTTGTATCCAATTGTTTTGTTTTGTTTTTTCCTAATTTTCTGTTCCATGTATGCCGGCTAGTTCATTCAACATAAAAGATAAATGCTATTCGTAAAATTTAAAAACAATAAAAATAAGTATTTAAAAGTCTATAAAACTCTATGACAAAAGTATATGAAAGTTTGTCACTTAACTTTGTAAAGTATATAAAAGCCATTAAGAATTTGTCAACTCTAGGAAAGTCACTCACTTAAAAAAAGCCTTTGAAAATTAGAATTGGATACACCCCCCTAAAGTCGAAACCGAGATACTGATAAATTCATGCTTGTGCTTCAAATATGGAACTTGCGACTTGAAGTTGGTACCCAAAAGGAAAAATGACTAGATATATTTCTTTTGATACTTTAGTTTTTAGATCTAACTAGCAAAGGTGCCCGCGTGATGCTGCGGGTTTAAAACCATCTGAAATGTATATAAAGTTATGAAAATATGTAGCAAGTTTAAGTTACAAAATAAATACCAATAACATGTTTTATATATAGAAGGATTTTGACCTCAAGGACCATTTATGAACCCTAGACCCTTGGTTTTTATCATTTTTAAGTTTTATGAATTTTAAGTGATTTTTTTAAAACTCCATTAGTTGGTTGATGTGGCATATATGTGGAGCCCACATCTCCAATAAGATAGTTTCACCTGTATTTAAAATACAATATATATTTTTAAATAATTTAAAAAAGAAAACCAAAATTTTATGAATTTTAAATTAAAAAATTAAAGACCATTTGTGATAGGTGCGTGAACCTTAAGGATGTTTTGTTATATATATATATATATATATATATATATATATATATATATACAGTCCCCTTCTATTGAGGGATCCCTCAAATAATTTTATTTGAGGGACGCCCTTTAGGGTATCCTACAATTTCTTTTCCAACGATCCAAACCATATACTTTTTAGGTCTTCATTCATAGATCATCCTTACAAAAAATTAGACAAATCGGAAACCGTTTCGACATCCAATTGTGTCTTACAAAATCAATGAACACGGTGCTTCAAGAAAGTACTAAAATTTCAATAACTCAATTGAGTGGTCAAATGATATCGGATTTAAGTGATTTTTTGTAGAGATGATCTTTGAATGAGTATCTACAAAATAGACGGTTTGGATTAGTGAAATACAATCCATAGTGAGGCATACAAGGGGTGTCCCTCAAATAAGCTTATTTGAGGGATCCCTCAATGGAAGCTCTCTGTATATATATATATATATATGCCACGTCAACAAACTAACGGAGTGTTTGATGGAACCTAACAGCAAGGACTATTTGTGATCACACATACTAACTTTGAGTATCACGAATGACACAATAAAAATGGTCTATGCTGTTATAAACTCTGTTAAATTGCTGATGTGGAAGGTAAGTGGGCTCCACATCTCCAATAATGTCGCGACACGTGGATAAAATAATATATATATTTAAAAATAAAAAATCATTAAAAAAATCCAAGTTATAAGATATGTCAATGAAATTTGGATGGGCCAAATCGTACGTGTGAATTCATGAAGTAAAGAATGATTAAGCTGTGAGAGAGCTCCAATGAAGATCCAATCGGGGAGGCAGCACATACAAACCACCTTTTTGTTTTCAAGTTTGCTTTTTAAGAAATTATGGGTGTAAGTTGGATTGGAAAATCCGATTCCGACCGATTCGTGTTCGAATATTTCCAAAAAAAAACTCAGACTTTGATAAATCCGATATCCGAAAATGACGAATCCGATATTTCCGATAAATGCCGAAAATTCGGCAATTCTGATCCAAAAAAATTCTGAAGTTTACCGAACCCATTCTGATATGATTTTTCCAAAGTTTTCTAGAAAATTTCGAATTTCTTATGATAATTGCATTATTTTTAGTGTATAGGTGTTATATATGTTTCATTTATTAGGTCACATACAAATATTCATATATACTAAAATAGGCCTTGCCAAAAAAAATATTAAACATAATAGTTTATAACTTTAAGAGTATATATTTTTGGCAAATGTGCTTGTTTGAATATAACAAAAAATTCATATGTGTGCTTGTTATATCAAAACTTACTATATATGTGGTATATGTTGGGAAGTATCATACTATTCTATTTTGTATTTTATGTATGTATGTATTTTAAAATTTTAAACTATCTTCATTTAAACTTTAATTACATGAAACACCACATATAATATAAATATATTCATTGGAGCTTGACTATTATAGTATTCCAATTGTATAGCATATTAAGATATTGAATGAACAAATAGTATTAGTTCCTTTTGTAAACTTTTAATCCATCATGTTATTTTTAAAATTTCCATCATGTACGCAACTCAACCTCCCATTCATATTTCCACCACTTTAGATACGTGTTATATGTACACCCTCTTGTAAGGCTTCATTTGGATGAAGAGATTCTAAATCCATGTATGTCAAAATTAGCACAATAATTAAAAAAAGAAAAGAAAAAGAACTCATTAAGATTCTTTGCACACATTCTCTGTCTTCTATATATATATATATATATGATATATTAAAATTAAAAACCTTTTTTTATCAGAAATTCGAAAACAAAAGTAAAGAGCTAAATAAATAAAATTAAAAGTTAAAAAAAAAGAAAAAAAAGTTCCATCTCCCACTTATCTATCCCTCTTTCTTTTCTTTATTTAATTTCTCAATTTCCCACTTACCCTCATTTCATTTGTTTATTTTCCCCCTCTCTTTTCCAATACTCACGTTCTTAACCCTAAGGCCTTCTCCAACCCATGAGGGGCTACCCCCCCCCCTATTTGGGTTTTGCCGGGACTCAAATAGTTTTTTCTCCCAACTCTCTGGACTCAAATTTTAAGTCTGCAACTTTATTTAAATTGTTTAAGAATTGTTTAAGTCTATTTTTTTAATGGATAACTTTTCTTCATTTAATTTTTTTAAATAACATCATAATTTAATTTTTTTTGAACAATTTGACCTAAAAAAAATTGAAATTCCATAATTTTTTTTATAATGGAAACAGCCAGCATGTGGGCCCAATCAATACTATTTGATTTTTTTTTTAAAGAAAAAGAAAAAAAAAAAGGAGATAGCCAAAGCCCAACAGCTCTCTCATCTAGTGCCAACACGTGGCCCATGCCACAGACAAGCCCATCAGAACATGTAACCAGAGAGGGTCCCACCATTTTTCAGAAGCACATGGGCTCTGCCACCTTAACGTGGGCTCCAATGAATAGTATTAGGTCTAGGCAATACTTGGATTTTTCCATTTGCAACCGCCGCTTTTTTTTTTTTTTTTTTTTTTTTTTTTTTCTTCTTCCCTCCCTCTCTCTCTCATGACTTCTCTATCTCTCTCTCTCTTCTTCTTCTTCTCATCTCTCCTTATTCTTGTTTGGGTTCGATTGGTTGGTCGAGTGATTGGGTTTAATTGTGTTCTGTTTGTGCTTTGTCTTTGGAGATGTTGAATTCATGTTGTGTGAAAATACTGAGTTATTAGGTGGAGGGATGGTGGATAGAGGCTGTGGTAGGTTTGATTATGGTGGAGGCTATGCGTTGGCGTCAGAGTGGGTCTCACAGAAGAAGGCAAAAAGAGAAAGGAAGAAGCAGCGGGGTGTTCCATTTTTGGGTTTGGGATTTGAGAAAGAAAGTTGGACGGAAATTGGAATGGCTATTTCCGATCCGTTCCGGCCGAATTATAGGCCTATAACAAATCCAATCATGGAGAGAGATGAGAGTTTGAAGGAGAAAAAAATGGTGAGAGGGAAGAGTTTTCCTTTTGTTTAAGAACCGATCTCTCATCTTTGCCCTTGAAGTTGTCGAACCAGCCAGTTGAAATCGAACCAGACGCCTCTCAAGAAGAAAAAGCCGCATAGTTAGATCCGAAGGAAAGAGGGGGAAAAACAGGGAAAACACAAAACAATCAGCCAAGGGCAAAACCGTGATTTTATTGTGAAAGGGGAGAGAAAAGCTGGTTGAACAGTTAAAAATGAAGATATTTTCGTAAATTCATTGTGCTTAGCTACAGTGTTTAGTTGCATTGGGTTTTAGTATATGTAGAATTTTCATGCTTCTAAACCCAAGTGATATAATGCTCATACTTGTTTATCTCCATTATTTGACATATTAATAAATTGATATTACTGAGGTAATTTCCCTTTTGACAACACAAGATATTTATTTTACAACTTATGTTTAACCAACACGGATGATTTTACGGCCTTATACATTGTAACAACCAACTATTTTTATGTACATTTACGCAGGTTCATATTTAATTTTTGGATTTTTATCAAGAATGATCTCTTAACTGTTAAAAAATTCATAATATGAGTCTTTATGGCAATATGATATTCAATATTTTTGCCTATACATTAGTTTTATACCTCTTATCGCATTCCGTCAACAATTTTGTTAAAATTGATCATATGGTGGCACATGACCGACATTAAAGGATTTTTTTGTTGTCAAAATACAACCTATTCACCCATAACACAAAGTAAATCGATCAAGACTATAACACCAAATTGGATTGAAATATAAAGAGTCAATACTTTTGCTATCCTAAACCCTAAACCTATCGCAACTCATACTTTTTCCCACTTCAAACTTATCGCCTAATAATTTTTGCTCCAAATAGAAACAAATCTAAAAAAGTAAATAATTTTTTTTATTTTTTATATTTGTATTTTTAAAAAATTTATAAACCAGTACAGGTCAGCTCCAGCTTTGGATGACCAGGGAAGTCTAACGAGACTTGAAGAACGATCCTCCGACCAGCTTCTCTCGCTCTACTGTCTCTGACAGCTCCCTCTCCAACTCCTCAGACCGTTCCCAATTCTGTCTCAAAACGATGCCGTCTCGAAGAAGAACCCTCCTGAAGGTCATCATCCTCGGCGACAGTGGGTCTGTGTCTCTCCATCTTTCTCTCTGTTTTGCTCGTAATAGTTGTGTTCTAGGGTTTTGCGCTTGAGATTGGGTAGATCTTTCTAGATCTTACTTTACAAATAATGAACTGAAACCCTATTTTTCGTCTCTTGGTACCAGTTTACGAATTGGGTTCTCACGAAATTTAAGAGTAGTAAAATTTAAAATTGTTATACTTATTTAGGAAGAAGATTGTGTTTTTTTTTGCTGTTTTTGGTAGAAGACTAAAAAAGGTTTGTTTAATTTGTGATATGCAGGGTGGGGAAGACTTCTTTGATGAATCAGTATCCTGTGCAGCTAGAATGTTGATTTGTGTGTTTGGTTATTTAATTTTGAATATAATGCTTTTGCTGTTAAGTTTCAGCTGTTTGTTTGTTTAGATGGTGGGTTTGCCTTTAACATGATTCTTATAGATATGTAAATAAGAAGTTCAGCAATCAATACAAAGCGACGATTGGAGCTGATTTTTTGACAAAGGAAGTTCAGTTTGAAGACAGGCTCTTCACCTTGCAGGTTTCTTTAGTTCTAATTGTTATCTAATTGCTTCAAAGGTCCCAGCTTTTTAGTTTTCATAAGAGGAAAATATGTGCGCATTAGAACTGAGCATGTTTTGTTGTTAATATTTGGCTGCATGTCTTGGGATTTGTCTATGTTGATTGGGTTTGCATTGTCTTTATCCAATCGTTGGCCTTACATTTATGGAACCTATGCCGGTACAGCCTGCACCAGTTGGTTAAACAGGGGAAAAAGAAGAAACACACAAATCACCAAGTTCTTCCAACCTATCAATTTTCTTTTGGTATTCTTGCACTAAATCAGAATTTGCGATGTTCTTAATGATTGGAAGTTCATCTGGGACTTCTCATTAACAATTTCTTTTAGTTAAATGGTCCTATGGTGGGAATAATTTATTTCACAATGATTTCGGGATGGTCCCTGCTAAGTCATGGTGTATGTTCTGGTGGTCCCTATACTGATGAAAGTTTCCATGTGTGTTAGAATTGCACAAGGACCCTTATTTCATGTTTCTGAGAATCATACATGTGTAGACCTCTATTTGCTCACTATGCGCAAGCAGTGGCAGAAATTGGACTAATGTTCACTCTGAAATATTTTCAGATGATGTCTTATAGGAAGTACACATAAAATATAAATTGCTAATTTTGCATGTGTAGGCTTGCATTTCCTCCCCTGCTTTTTGTCATAACGTTCACTACTGTCACTATGGAGAAGGATTCATATAAATTGCTTTGTTTCTGTCCCTAAAGACTCACGATGACATTATTGATGACTCTGCATTGCCTTCATTCTCTACCCTCTGACTGTTGTTATCCTTACCGATAATTGTTGACTGGTATACGTTATCCAATTATGCCTTTTCATTATTATGTGTTGGGTATGTTGGCATAACCTGGCTTCAGTTTTGGCTTCAAAATATTTCATTTGATATGAAAAACAAAATCAGGTTTTGACTTGTATCTATCAACCAAAGAAGCTTGTAATGTGGGGCCTCACTCCCTCTATCTCGTTAGTATACTGATATGAACAGCATGAAAAGAATTTCATTTTCAAGCTGTTAATTTATGGATATCAGATTATTAGAGTTTGATGATTGATTGCTAATTTATTGTTATCGCAATTACACACTCTGAAACAATCTGTCATGTAATCTATGGAATTATATGTTTTAGCTCACCACTTCTACCATTAGGTTCTGCAGTAGTCTTTTTATGTTTTTAAATTCTTGGATAAGTTGATGCCTAAGTGTGTTTCCAAACAGTCAACACACATTCTATTGTTTTGTCAGATTTGGGATACAGCTGGCCAGGAACGATTCCAAAGCCTTGGTGTAGCTTTTTACCGTGGTGCTGATTGCTGTGTTCTTGTTTTATGATGTTAATTCAATGAAATCATTTGATAACCTTAACAACTGGAGGGAATAATTTTCTTATTTTTTAGGTTTTGTTTTTGGTTTGTTTTTTTTTTTTTTTTTTTTTTTTTTTGTTTGTTATGTGGCTATTTTCTTAAGTATTGGGTCACTTGAAAACTCTTCCAGCTGTCATTTCTCTTTCTGCATCAACTTCCATTTTTTTTATCAATTACAAAAGAAAATTGAACTTACGGTATGATGACAACTTCTGCAGGCAAGTCCTTCAGATCCAGAAAATTTTCCATTTGTTGTCATAGGAAACAAGGTTGATGTAGATGGTGGAAATAGTAGAGTGGTATGCATCTCTTTTCGGAAGAAAATTGTCATCTTCTCTTCTCTTACATACATATGCACATGCACACATGAGTTTGTTATCCTATATGTTTCATATTGACATACTACTTTTTGTTAATTCTCCAGGTTTCAGAGAAAAAGGCTCGAGCTTGGTGTGCATCAAAAGGAAATATTCCGTACTATGAAACCTCTGCCAAGGAAGGCATTAATGTGGAAGAAGCTTTCCAGTGCATAGCAAAGGATGCTCTGAAGAGTGGGGAGGAAGAGGAGATGTAAGTTGAACTAGAGACCAATATGCTAATGCACACGTCCTCTTGAGTTTTGACAATTCATTTCATTTACTTGCATTAACAAAATGAATCATCTAGTACTAGCCAATTATTTCCTTACAGGACTAAGCATCCACAATACCCCAGTTAGTTTTTCCAGATCACCTGTTCATTATTTAATGATTTAGTGGTTTTCCTTAAACCAACCCTTTCATTTATCATTCCCACGAACAGCAGTGCCACTAATACCTAGAAGTTAAAACCGTTCACATAATCAAAATTGGTGTTGCAAAATGTCCTTTAGTTCCATTTAGAGTTGTGTATGCCCGTTTATTCTAGGAATTATATAGTTAGCATATAAATCTCACTGTAGTATATAGTAGCAGTTTTTTTTCTTTCTTTTTTCTTTCCCCTTATAGAACTCTAGCAAAACTCTAGCAGTTCTGATCCGGAGTATTACATAAATGCTACAGTTGACAGTTGTCTTTTCCAGTGGTCACCTGTTGATATCTTTTTTATTTTGTTTTTTGCTTCATGAAGATACTTGCCGGATACCATTGACGTTGGAAGCAGCAATCAGCCAAGATCAACTGGATGCGAGTGTTAAATATTCTACCGGAATTCTTTTCCAGTAAAAAATAAGTCATCTTTGGAAGTATATTTGTTGGTACGTATGCAGTGACACTGTACATTAGTGTTTGTGTGGGAAACAAATTGGTCTCCTCGTCAATGCTTTTTTTCAGATAGGTTGGATGGTGCCTTTCGTTCTGAGTTCTGTTTGTTCTGACCAGATTACATTGGATTTCATCCCATTGATATCCACTTATTGTTAGTATGGAAAAGATCTTGGAACTTATATTTTCACCAAAATTATGCAGTTTTCATTTCATCATATTGAGTTTGTTTATGGATTGATCACCCATTTCTAGTTCAATCCTTAGAAACTTCTCTAGTCGATGAGTCTTCCATGGCATCGAGCCAGCAATAGCTGTGTCTGATCATGTTTTTGTTGATGCTTTTGTGCATGGCTTTTCGTGGTGCTATGTCCGCTTTTCCTGTAGAGAGGTGGCAAACATGGTATATATGACACCAATTGGCTCTTGATATAGGGGTATTTCTCGTTTTAACGTTAAACTCTCCTTTCTTATTGATTAATTTTTTATTTATTTAAGGAAGTTGAGGCTTCATTCAAAAATCAATTGGCAATTGGAAAAATAGCCCACCGCTTTATAAATCCAGATTAGGTTTTATAAGTTCACCTGGCTTCCAAAATCAACAAGGTGAAACAAAATTTTTTCATACTCCTAAGTTCACCTGGCTTCCAAAAATTTCAAGCAGAAATTTGACTTAAATGGAAGCTTACAAAGGAAAAAATTTGACCTTGCATATGCGTATTTTTGGTCTCGAAATTACAGAAAGGTTGATGGGTGGTTTTGAGAACCATCGAATATTTCGTTGATAGATGAGAAAGTCATTGGAGCACATTATCAGATCGTTAGAAACTCAATTACACACGACTCATAAATAGCATTTTAAAAATGGGATTTCGGGGCGGTCAGTGGACATAAATTAAAAACAAAAAATAAAAAAGAGATCCTTTCCCCTCCCAACTTTCCCTCCTTTTTCCTTTGCTTAGCATTTCACCCTACAATTTTTACAGAGCATAAAGATAATGTTACAAAACAGAGCATAGTGGATTGCTGAAAATCTCTCCAGAAAGCCCTTTGTCTTGTTTATCAATGGCAATTGCCAAATGGGCAGAGGCTATTTCAGTTGTAGCACAATATCTAACTTCTTAAAGAGCATACCCGAATCTGCTGTTCTCGAACTCATTTGATACAAAAGATACGTGATCACCCCGCTGCACAGGAATGGATTAATTATATTCACATGTTCTCAGGTGTTTTACTTCGACCCGACTGAAGAAAGTTTGTCCTGGCTGGGAGGCCTTATTGAACTTCCTGCCAAGGCTGTGGGTGAAAATTGGTTTGAGGTTGGAGCCGTTGGCCCCATGGGTCTTGACATAGGTGGCCTAAGGGAAGTCATGTTTAGCGGGGGTCTTGGAACTGAGTTTGCAACATTCATGGTCATTCTATTGGCAGGCATTGACGATGGCATTGGTCTAGATGAGGAACCTGGTAAGCCAAGGCGGGCTGCAATTATCTGTGCCCGCTCATGGTAGAGCTTCTGTCTTGACCTGTCCAATTGCTCCCTCACCCTCATTACAACATTTTCCATCTCGCTAAAGAAACCTAATTTTGCTTCCAACTTATGCAACTGCAGTTAAACACAAACCTCCAAAAATAAAAAACTATATTACTAATAACAAACAATAAAGAGGCAATTTGGAATTGGGATGACCTGCTTCTCTATCAACATTGCTGCAAGTTGTCGGATTTGATCTTCTTCCTGTTCTGCTAGAAGTTTTGCCTTCACTGCAGCTGCTGAGATTGCAGAAACTGCAGCGTGCTTTAGTTTATCAATTTTCTGATCCACTTTTGTCTCTGTAGTGTCATGTTTTTCACTTTTACCATCGTTAGTTTGATCCTCACCTGCGAAGTACAAACAAATGAGACATCAGTAAATCCAAGGCATTCAACTTGAATTTTGTGAAACTCAACTAGTTGAACAAATATTTTCCTCTTTCAACTTGATTTTTTGATCCAAGCTAACTAGCATGCACAAGACCCATTTCCCATATTTTTATTTGTATTCAGCCAGAAGAACTCCAATATGATGTAAATACCCCTGTGTCTGCGTGTGTGTGGGTGTGCGAAGAGAGGGAGAGAGGAAGGTGTACTTGCTCCGGTTTCAACCATTGAATTTGATGCAACTGGTTGCTGAGAATCATCCTGTTCTGGGGGCTGAGGATCAGACACCATGTCTACATCCTTTGATTCCTCTGTAGGTTGAGGAGGTTCTTCTGATTTGGCAGTAACCGGTTGCTGAGGCTCAGTTATTTGTGAAGCTGGAGAATTGGACACATCCAGATCTTTTGATGCTTCTGTAGAATGGGGAGGTTCCTCAACTGAATTTGATGTAACTGGCTGCTGAGGCTCATCCTTTGTTGAGGGAAGTGAATCACACATATCCACATCCTTAGGTGTGTCTGTAGGTACAGAAGGCTTTCCTACTGAAATTCCCTCTCCTGACTCCTTCTCAGAACTTGGTGGATTCTCTGCCTCGAGTTTTGAATCATCCAACTTCCCCACAGTAGTTGGTGATTGGTCCTTTGGTAACTCTAAATTGTCTGATTTGTTCAAATTATCAGCTCCTACTTCTTCATGAGAAACTATGCCATCCTGTTCTTCTGCAGATTGTGACTTTTCTTCGGGAGAAGGTTTTTCAAGTTTCTTGTCACCTTTATCATTTGATAAATCTTTATCTTCCAAACCTGAGTTGGCGTTATCCTCTTTCTGGCTTTTGTCTTCATCAACTATGTCTTCCTGGACTTTGTCTTTCAGCACTTCAGCAGCAACACTGCAATCCATCAATGACATCAGATAGAATATACACAAACCAATAGAGGATAAATGCTCCACAACAAAATCACATACCTATCAGGACCAGCTTGTTCCTTATTGTCACTTGGTGGATCTTCCAATAGAAAGCAATGCCTTGCAGCCAGCTCAGTGCCAGGAGAACTGGCAGATATGGATTTCAAAGAATTATGCGCTGAAGCAATAGCAACATCAGGTCCCACCAAACGTGCAAGGAATGCTGCCTGTAAAAGAGTGCAACCTATAAGTAGTGACACATTAATAGTGATTGAAGGCCAAAGTATCATTTATATGTTTTGCTTATTGCAAGGCGATGCTTAAGCCCCAGGGTTAAGAGCAGGTCCCATGAAATACATTGCATATATGCATCAGAAATCTATTGATGCATGCATGCACTTATAGACATACATACATCATGCATACAATTAAACAGGCATGCATGAATAATGTATAATGCAATAGAATCGGGAGATCAATTCAAATGCTTCTACAGGAAAACAGTGAAAGGTATCAAATTCGGACATATAGTTATCTAAGATTTTGGCAATAAGCAGGAAATTTCTTAATGCGCCTGAAGTTGATATCTTGAAACGTAGGCAGACTAAAGCTATAAAATTACTGTTGAAGTTTGTTTGAAAAAAAAAAAAAAAAAAAAAAAAAAAAGGGATACCTTAATTAAATATCACTACCAGTTATTTACTGTTAAGCTAAACTGACATTCGGCTAACCATGTGAAATGTACGCTATCCTGGGTAACCCAATGCTGCATCATTTCAGTTTATTTCAGAAGCACTTAAACAATCATATGTGAGTTCATAACTTAATCTTTAAGTTAGTTATTAATCTATGCATTTCTGTGGAACAACAGGTCCAACAGATTTACTTTACAGTCACGTGTCACTAAACCACCAACAGATGCACCAAACGTCCACACATAAGCATTCAACTTACCAATGCCATGGCAGGGTTTCCCACTTCTGCAAATGAAAGTTGACCTTCAGATGTTGGAGGATAACCAACAACTTCAAACGCTTCTTTAAGAGCATTCAGTGCAAAGCTCTCATCTGTCTCCTGATCAACTTTCAATTCCCCAGTATCTTCCAATTTTGAAGTTTCCTCACCCACTTTGACTTCATTTACATCCTCTGGCTTTGAAGTATCTTGTCCAACATTTACTTCAGTCACCTCTTTTGAAGTATCCACTGGGGAAGTTTGGGGGTCACTCTCACTAGCACCAGTCTTATTCTCTGTTGTTTCAGGGGCATCCTTGGGGGCCAATGATTCATTGTCAGTTGAAGTAGGATCTGCAGTTTCTTTTGCACTAGCATCAATATCATCCTCATAATCAAGAAAGGTGTCCTCAATTGGCATTTGAACAAAGTGCAATATACATTGAGCTTTTGTTTTTGTTGCAACATGTTCAGCAATCTCATTCCAGTTTTCTTTATAAAGTTCTAGTGCTTCAAGGAGAAGAAGAGTCTCCTGATCCGTCCACTTCCCACCACTTACCCCAGGAGCTTCAGCAGGCTCCATAAGAATGAAATCTGATGAAGACATACCAGAGTCGAATTTCCCATTACTAAAACAATCAGTACATAGATCAAAATCTGCCTGTTAAAATGAATGCAATCAGTAAACAGAATAAATGTTAATAGGGAACTGAAACATGAAGCAGATAATTAATATGTAAACATAACATCCACTTCATCAAACAGAAATTTTCATCAGCCTGACATGAAAATCATTCTAGATAAAGTTCTCAAGGTGGGATGCCTTTAAGACAGTAGCAAAGTGTATTCACCAGGCAGAATTAACAATTTAATATCAGCAGATGATAGCTGCCAACATCCCAGAGATGAAAACAATCATGTATCTGATAGATTTGATTTGGATAGTTTGATCACACCCTTCAGACATAGCAGAAATACGAAACAATGGAAAAGTTTGGTAAAATTACCTTAGCACCAATAGGAATATTCTACACTTTAGAATTAAAGAGAGCCACAGTCAGATTGAAATGAAGGTCAGAAAAGTGGGTCCGTCCATTAGCAAGCACTGCTACAAAGTTCAATATAAAATCAATAACTCCTATAAAAGAACAAACCTGCTTCTGGCAATGGTAGCGCTTGCGTGAGCAATCAGCTGAACAAGAGTTACAATGGTACTCAACAGCTGGCCCCTCAGGCCTCACCAACTCTTCAGCAATTGCAGACTCAGGAAACAACCCAGATGGCACAGTTGGGGTTGTTATATTAGTCTTTGGAACAACTGATGAGCGTGATTGTAATGCTTCAAAGTGATACAACTTATCAACCAAAGAATCCTTTTCTGCCAACTCATCACCCTCAGCACTGGCCACAGCAGGATACAACTTATCAACCAAAGAGTCCTTTTCTGCCAACACATCACCCTCGGCACTGGCCACAGTAGAACCTGTTGGTGGGGACGGGTCAAAATTAATTAAACCCCAATGGTCCAAAAATTCCATTACTTCTTGTCTAGCATCAAAGTCGCCAACTTCAAGCTCCAACAAATCCTTCAATTCAATAAATACTCCTGGATTCGCATGGAATATCTTCATAATACAATTACGTATCTCCAAGTATGCATCAGGAGTTCTCGTCTCAGACTTCCCATTAAAGAAAGATGGCAACATTTGCTCCTCAATGGGGTGAACCTTTGTCCATGAAAACCAACCTGGAAGCCAAAGCAACGGTTCAATCAAAATGCAAGGTAAAAACACCACAAGGCTTCCACCCCTCATAATCAAAACAATGATCTTAAAACACAAAGCTCAACATTAGTGTTCCCTTAGCTCCATTTAAATAATGCCTAAGAAATTAAGTCACCATAATAACTTTCGCCCGGTGTTTCTTTTCCAGGGTAGCTTCATTAAGCAACATTTCAAAGTAAAGTTACTAATTTAAGAGCTGGAACAAGTTCAGCACCAGGAAATTTAGCTCAGCCTCTAAGTTTTACTAACCAATAACTACACATTACACGCATTCACAACCCAAACGGCAAAAAAGATCAAAACTTTCACCCAATTTTAATAAAAATGTGCACAAATAGACGAGGGTTTTCACAAGGGCCAAAGATACTCACCACAATGACTTGGAACAACATGAGCATTCGCATTGCGAGATCTAATGGCTTCAAACTCAGCCTCCATAGAAGCCTCCAGAGCCTCCAACTCGCTCTCCCTCTTCACCAGCTCTGCCACCGCCTCTCCAACCGGGTCGGGCCGCTTGGCTACCGTCGGCTTCGCTGCAGCCCCAGACGCAGAAGCCGAACCGAGGCTGCTTGGGCCCTGGCGGGCCCGGGTCAACGGGCCATTGTGGATCGGAGGGTGAGAGAGCATAGCCTTCTCGCGAGTGAAGCGTTTGGACGGCGTGGATGAAGAAGTGGAGCCGCCGAGGCTGCTGGCCTTTCTCTTCTGGGCTCCGCCGCGGCGCCGAGCAGAAGATGGCTCGGCGGCCGGAGATTCGGCATTTGACGGCGGCTGAACTCCGGCGGCGTCACGGCGCTTCTCTTCCATGGATTGATGATGTTTGTGTTTTTCTGGGAGGGTTTGGTTCGCGAATCTGGGTTTTTTTTTGGCTCTGCACTCGCAGATATACACAGTTGAGCACTATTGCTGTTAATTGTTACTGCCACTCTTAATTTTCTTGCTTCCACGCTAGCGAGCAAACGCTATTACTACTTGTTGGAATTTGGGGTGCGAACAAGTTTGGAATTAGCGAAAATGATAGTGCTATTAGTAATAATTATTTTATCAATTATTGCTGTGGGGTGATTCTATTGCCACCCCCCAAAATGCTCTCTCTACCCACTATCTCAACAATTTCTATTTTAGAGTTAAATAAATTTTTTTTTTTTCAAATATAAAGAGCATTTTCTTTCCCTTTTTTTTTACGCGGAAATTCAAGCTCTTTTCTTCTCATTGTCTTTATTTTCTTTCATTATTTTTCTCTTTCTTCTTTGATGAACTTCAAACTTTTGTCTTGTTGTTGCTAGTTTTTACTTTTCAGTTAAAATTAAATAAAAAATGATTTTTACAGGGTTAGTTTTGGGATGTTTCAACATTTGTTTGGGTTTCCAGAGAAAATTATGAAAATTTAAAATTTGAACATGAAATATTTTTTTTTGGAAGAAAAATCCCACTTACAAAAAAAAAAAAAAAAAAAAAAAAAAAAAAAAAAATGGTAATAGATTTTATTTTCAATTCTCAAAAGTGTGAGATCTAGTTTTCAAAATCACCCTTATTTTTTTTAAAACAACTTGAAAGTGTTTTCAGTTTTCATTTTCGTTTTTTTTTGCGCTCCTTTCTCATTCACAAATTTTACATAACTACACATGCATTACACTCCAGTTACCGAAACTCGTATTTGGAACCTTTCGACTTAGATCCAGCCGCATGACTGTTGCGTTCAACTGTGGACCCAGACCAAGTATCTGAAACAGACGTCCCTTATCCAATTCAAGCCAGATTGCCTTAAGTTCGGCAAAATAGGTAGAGATAGGATGACCCTCTTGCTTAAGACGAGCAGCTTGGCATCGCAGTTCATAGAGCTGGGATATGTTAGAGCCATCATAAAACATCTGATTAACAGCATCCTAAATTTCCTTAGCAGTAGGTAGAGTATGAAACATATTCAACAAACTGGGTTTTATAGTTCGCAGCATTCAACTTTTCACAACAGCATCAACAATTTTTCACTTTCCAAATTTGGGGTTTTTGGAATCAGGGGCATCAGTGTCGCTAGTTAGGTAACCCAATTTGCCTTGTGTAGTAGCATGAAGTTCAATCATCGAAGCCCCATACCTCATAGTTGGATCCATTCAATTTGAATCCCATAGGTAGGTCGGTGGACGATTCGGTATGAACCATAACAATAGGAGTAGAAGAAGAAGATTAAGTGATAGATGGCAACGGCAACAAAAGATTAGGTGGCAATAACGATAGTAAGAGATATAAGACGGCACAGTCTTAGGTGTATAGGCTAGATGCAGTGGAAATAGGTATTTTTAGGATTAGGGTTTTGATGTTGTAGAGACGGATCGAAACCTGCTCTGATACCAACTCAAAAATAATTAAGGTTTAAACTGATATGTTTATTTTTCTCTCAATGAGGAATATATATACTACATACAGAGTGGGTATAAATAGAAAATATGTACAAAATCTCCTAATTCTACTCAAATAGATAATTACATGTGAGATTGAACCCATCAAGGGAGAGATCAAGTCCTGTGCTACATCCCTAGAATCCATGCTTGACTTCACACATGGCGTCTTCGGATTGGACACCCCTTTCAGTGTTGTGGCCACAACCCATCTCACAAATTCAACTACCAATTTCCAGAACTACACTATTTTGGAAGAGCCCAAGGAGATTTTGGCTCCCAAGATGGTGGCTTGCCACACCATGCCTTACCCTTACGCAGTTTTCTACTGCCACAGCCAGAAAAGTGTGAACAAGGTTTTCAAGGTTTTGTTGGGCGGTGAGGATGGAGATAGGGTAGAAGCTGTTGCTGTTTGTCACTTGGACACCTCTCAATGGAGTCCTAATCATGCATCTTTTAGTGTGCTTAGGACTAAGCCCGGGGCTTCAGCTGTGTGTCATTTCTTTCCTGCTGATAATCTTGTGTGGATTCCAGCATCCACTTCAATGTAGTAATTTTAATGCAGGGCCAGTGTTTGAACATAATATAAAAGGTCAAGATTCTTTGGAAGCTTTTGATTTTCCCACTGAAATTCCTGGAACTGAAGTTTTGATGACCAGATTGTTGATTCTTGAAGAAAAAATACTATCATAAAAGAAATATTAATCAACCAAACAGGTTTACAAAAGGCTGCAAATTGCTGTCTGATTAGGCTATAAATTCTTATGTTTACAATGAAAAAGTACAATTTTGAAAATAGAAAAAGATTCCTTAATGGAATATGAAACGACTTAAAAAATTTCTATGCATGAAGCAACAGAAACCTTGGTGAGTAATTTGAGATCTGAATTTCTATGCGTGAGACATCAGAAACCTTGGCGAGCGATCTGAGTTGAGTCCTATCTGTTCAGTATCAGTATACATGTCCTTGTAGCTCAAGTGATTACAGTGTAACTCAAGTAATTAACATCATATTTACTCTTATTTTCCGAATAATTAAGATAGTATTTAGTCTTAAGTTCTATTCATTCTTCAATAATTTTTTTTTGTTGATTCCTTCGAACACGGACAATTGGAACTCAAGTGATTATAAACATTTACTCTTACAATTATCTATTTGATTCCTCTCTTTTCATAATGATCGCATTACCTTTTTCCTAATATCGTTTTGATGCTAAAAAAGAAAAGAAAAAGCTTGTGTGATGTCAGTGTGGTGGTACAATATACTGTACTAGGCCTGTTCTGTACCGTTGTTCGACTACATGGCTCAATCAAAGGCTATTAATGAAGCTATTAGCTTCAAGGGTTGCTTGATGACTTTGGTGTTTTACAGGACCATGTGGGCGTTCTCAGACCAAGGCAAGAGGCAGAAAAGAAATCACTTTTGAGACATCGAAATATCACATTTGTGAAGATGAGTTAACTTTTCATTTTTTACTTAAAATCCCCTTTGTAGAACAAGTTGTATTTGTAATTTTCATAGATGGAGCATCCATACAAAACCCTTAATAAAAATCAAGTTTGTTTGTTTTTTTTAAAATTATATATTGGAGAAAAGAAACCCCACTAGAGTTCGATCCTGAATGCCATGAAGGGAAAGGAGAATCCACCACCACTGTTGTAAGAACTATTGGCCAAGTTTGTATTTCTCAAAGACTAATTGGCTACAAAAAGTAACCAAAATCACATTCATAGCCAAAGCTATTTATTAATTCAGGATTCCAAATTACATTCCTGACCTAGCTTAGACACATAAACACCAAACCGTATATATCTTACGTTCATAAAACATAGGCTTCTTCAGAGCCAATTTATTTATTTTTGTTACATAGAACAAAGGGGCCAAGGTTTGAACTCCACCTTCAGATTCGGGGGTAAATACTCTCTAACACTAGAGCTTAGTACAAGCTTATTTTATTATTAAATAGCACCAACTCACACTTGATGTTCTATTAGTCATTGTAAAAAGAAATATATATTTCCTTGGATCAAAGTCTTCATCAAATGACTGCTTATTTTCTTTTGACTCAAGTGGCTGCTTGTCAGGGTAAGCCTGGGACTTTGGCTCAGAGTCTTTGGCAGAAAACTCTGCTTTGCCTTCTTCATCATTGTAAGCTGAGATAAACGGTCTGGGTTCAAATTCCGTAGTCTCAACAACAGGTTTTTCTGTATTTTCATGGCCGTTGGCTTCTTTTTTTGGTGTTGAATCAGAATGTTCAGCAAGGAGGCCTGGCATAAGGGGTTGCTCTTTCCTGATATATTCCCAGTCAATTCCTGCACCTCCTCTTGATTCTATAGTTTTAGCAAACTGCTCCACAAGACAGAAAAGCAACAAACGTCAACTTTACCGAAATTTCCAAGGCGTACGTTTCAAATCATATTGTAGGTATTGTTAAGTTATCAGATTGTTAATTTCGACCATACTTCTAAACAAAATAAATAGTTAAAATTGATAACGTAGTTAACAATATAATATATAAGATTTTCTAATAAGAAAACATTTTCGTGGAATTATAAGATTTTAGTGCCGTTTTGTCATCATCAAGTTGTTGACTTGAAATTTATCAGAGATCATAAGCAACAAGAGGAAAACGAGGATACAAATGCTTACCAAAAGAAGAGAGAAGAGAGCTAAGGTGGCACAAAGGAACTTCATGTCTAAAATGCAATGCAAAAGAGTTCCTTGTAGTTGTGCGTTTAAGGATATGTAATTAACCTCATATTACTTATAGATAATCTACGAGGAGAATATTTGTCTTCAAAAGAATCAAGGCAGGACACTAGAGTCATGTTGGGTTTGGCGATGAATAAGATTCAAGACCTATGCAAGGACAACGACGATGAATATAAGAATAAAATATTATGGTACTAATCGCAATCGGGTAAAACTAGGGTATTTGTTTTGATTATTAGAAGAAATCAAAGGTGAATCTAGCAAGCGTTTTTGAAGAAGAAAAAAAAAAAAAAAAAAAAAAAAAAGGTTAACTACAGTAAACCAACAAACCAAACCTATAAGGTCATTTACGAGTGCATACTTGATTTTGGGAACATTTATGAGTACATACTCAACGTCGCGGAAAACCTACAATTTGCCCCGTCCGTTAGACAGATTGTTAGTCAGTCTGTTAAATGCTGACATGTCAAAAGTGGGACCCCTTTTTTTGATGACTTGGACTTCCACGTGGACCAAAAAATAATAAAAATTATTATTTTATTATTTAAAATAAAAAAAAAAAAAAAAACACACACACACACACACACACACTCTCTCTCTCTCTCTCTCTCTCTCTCTCTCTCTCTGTGAGAACCCAGACCCAGAACATCTCATGAACATTGGACTCGTCATCGACTTGCTTCGCTGAGACGATCCTCCTATGTTGCCATTGGAGGAATCTCGCGCTCGACTCCGTTAGCAAGAAGAAGCATTTCCGGCGGAAGAAAGGCGATTTCATATTCACACCGCCTTTGTATGTTGACCTAAAGGAGAAGACCCGAGCCTTCATCAACTACCTGAAGGGCGACGGCTGCTTGCTTCAGAAGCTTCCTCTGTGGTATTGCCTCGATGACGCCGTCGCTGGCTCCGTCACCATCATCCTCTCCGCTAATGCCGAGCTTCGCTCGAATCCGAACGAGTGCGACCGCTTCAGGACGAAATCTCTGCTGTTGATCAAATAATCCTCCCACTAACATGCGTGTTCTTGCCTCGCAGATACACCAACCCTGCTCCCAAGCCTAGCAAGAAAGCAAGTACTAATGGGAACTCTTTGCATTTTGAAATTGAGATTCTGAAACTCAACTATTTGTGATTAGGATCGTTTTGTTTCAATTAGGAACTATTTTGTTTAACATGTTATGTTTAAATGACAGGTTTCCGAACTGTTCTGCTCCCACTAGCCAAGGTAGTTCAAGCCCTCAACTTGAACTTTGAGGACATGAACAATTAAGCTCCGCCGCGTTTCAACTCCGGTTTGGCCCCATACCATGGTATGCCCCGTTATTTCCATTTATGTAAAGTTTGGTGTTTTAGATCTATCAATCAGTCTAATAAATTTTGTTGGTTTGAAAAAATCAACTCAGAAAGGAACAGGGCCTGTGGCGGGCATTTGGGAAAGTCGGGGTGATCAGGTGTCTTCATTCAAGCAATACAGATATGCAATTCTATTTGTGCTTTCAGCAAGTAGGCGATGCGAATCTATGGTTTCTATCAATCTGAAACCATACCAATTGTTTTTCAAAACGTGACCAAGTTCTCGAAGTCTAAAGTTGCAGGAGTTGGGGATTTGAGGGTTGGGCTATGTTGGGGAGGCAAGGTGATGGGTGGTAGTTTGGGTGGTTGTTTTGGTGGCTGGAGTAGCTGGGTTCGTTGAGAGAGAGAGAGAGAGAGATCTTTTCAAATAATTTAAACAGTAAAATAATTTTTTATTAATTTTTAATCCATGTGGAAGTCCACGTCATCAAAAAAAGGAGTCCCACTTTTGACACGTCAGCATTTAACAGACTGACTAATAGTCTGGCTAACGGAAGGGGCAAATTGTAGGTTTTCCGCGACGTTGAGTATGTACTCGTAAATGTCCCCAAAATCGGGTATACACTCGTAAATGATCCTATAAGTTGGGGGGTTTACTGTAATTTACCCAAAAAAAAATTTGGATTTTTAACAAAAATTTCGAAGTTGTTCAAATAAAACCGCTTATGAGCTGAAAACGGCCCTAACTAGCTACATTTAAGTAAATTAATTAATTGCATTTATGATGACTATAAATAAATAAATTTCTTTGTAGTTTTCCTATTCATTATTCTTAAAGTTTAACGCTACACATATATGACAACAAAAGTAGAGATTATTGCCAAAACCACATTCATGGTGGCCAAAGCATTCCTTTTATTAACTTAGGATTGAAAATTACATTCATGATCTAGCCACGTACAACATAAAACAGACATAAAACATAGACTTCTCTCAGAGCCAATGGCTTTTCTTTCAGTACATAGAAGCTTAGAAGCTACGTACAAGCCCGACAAGCTTATTATATTTTACAATAACACCACCAGGATTACAATAATTCAACCAATTAGCCACTGTAAATCAAAGGATTTGGCCTTGGCCCAAACTCTTCTTTTGCTGCAAATGACTGCTTAGCTTTAGGACCAGCATTGTATTTGGAAGAGAGCTTTGCTTTAGTTTCATGATCATTGTACTGTGTGGTACTGGGTCTGGGTTCAAATTCCTCAACCTCAACCTCAACCTCAACCTCAACAAAAGGTTTTTTCACTTTTTCATGGCAGTCGGCTTTCTCTTTTGGTGTTGAATCAGATATATCAACAAGGAGGCCTTCAATTGCCTGTGGCATAGGTTGCTCTTTCATGACATTTTTCCAGTATTTCCCGACATCTCTTCTTGAATCTATTGTTTTGGTAAACTGTTCCACAAGACAAAGAAAATAAAAACAAATAAAAAGAAATTTCTAAGGCATTCTAAATGATCAGTTGAAATATGTACTGTCAATTTAGATAACATATTTGATAAAAATTCACTTCAAATTGACAATTTGACAATATAATATGACATACGAAGAGAAATGTTCTCTTACCCTGTGTGGCAATATAAGATGTTTATATCGCTAGAATGTGAATATAAACTATTAATCAAGTTGATAATTTCTAGAATGTGCGGTCTAAGTTTACAGTATGACAACATAAATTAGAGTCTGATAAGAAAATATTTTCATGCAAGCATAATATAAGATTTTTGGTTGCATTTGTCTTGTCAGTCCTATATATCTAGCAACTTCTTGGCTTTAAAAATTGGTGACTTCATACAACAATAGGAAGAAGGGTATTATACAAATACTTACCAAAAGAAAAGAGAAAAGAGCTAAGATAGCACAAAGGGACTTCATGTCTACAAATGCTATGCAAAAGAGTTCTTTGTAGTTGTATTTTTGAAAGATATGTAACCTCACTACTTATAGATAATTTACTAGAACGAAAGCATCAAGGCAGGCAGGACCTAATTATGGGCCCTAGATTTGTTTTTGAAGAATGGTCCCTATAATTTTGATAATCATACTTTGGAACAAATCTGGGACGGATCTAATTATGGGCCCTAGATTTTTGGAAGGTTTCTAAAGTAGGTATGCCATGCTTTTCTATGTAGTCTAGTCGCACATTTTTTGTTTTTGTTTTTTATACAGGCAATATTACAGAAGGAGGAAATTAAACTTAGGACCTCAAATACAACAGTAAATACTCTTAACAACTTGAATTACAAGCAATTATAAGTATTGCGCAAGTAATTAACGAAAATTTTGACGATGAAGTGAATGTCGGAACCAGATTGCATAAAATTGAAAAGCATAGAGTATGCAATCTTTAAAGTTGAGAGTGTAGGAACAAACGTGCCTTAAAAATAAGAGTTTAGGGTACTAAATTGAAATTAACCTTTGTATTACATACGTAACTATATCAATCGGCTTCTCATTTATATGTTTTGCTTTGTCTTATGGGACTATCATTTATGTGGTTTATAATTCATATATAATTGTCTTTCTCGAAGTACGACGAAACCAAAGCAATGAGTACATCAGAATAATCAAACAAAATCAGGATCAATGAAAGAAAATAACCTACTCTTGGCCTTTTTTGTCTTGTGTAAAGTGAGCAATTCAATCAAGGATTCTCATTTTATTACCCATTTCATAATAAAGAGATCACTTTATTCATATACCTATTAGCTTTTAATTTAATAATATTTATTTTTTCTATAGTTCAAATCTAACTCCCCTCTTGGTTTTATTTAAAAAAATCTAACCCCCTCTTCCGTTAAAAAAATCAATTCATATACTTTAAATATATTAATAATCATCATTTTAGAACAACTATAGACTGTTTACACAATCTATTAAAAATTAATCTAATTAAATAAATAATTATGCAAAATACAATGCCTATAGCTTGTTTTCTTTTTCTTTTTAACAGAATAACTTCAAATCTTTGATATATATTTTTAAAACCAATCCAATACTTCATTAGGGGTTACGTAGATAGCCTTTTTTTTTTTTTTTTTTGTGTGTTTCTCTCAATTATGATATATATTTTTATTGAGAAATTTTGGCATTTCATTTATAATTCAGTCAAAAAGGTCACTAGCCACAAAGGGCCAATACAAACCAGCCATAAATGGCCAATACAAACTATTAACAAAGGGCCATTACAATAACATGGTGATCTAACGTCAAACTCTCATAAAAAAGAAGTGGAAAACTCTCACATAAGGAGAGGTGAAAACTACACAGAAAACTCAAAGAGTCTCTACTTATTCTAAACATAAAGAAACTGCAAAAAGGATATGTGACAATTCGATGGTGAAATACAGGTGGAGTTCCGACGCCAAGACGCACCTATGATGGGTGGAGGAAATTCATAACAAAGAAAAGACAAAAACGGGAAACTTTTTATTACTGAAAATTGGGGAAGAAAAAGAAAGGAGAAGGGAGGAAGAGAGAAGCGGATTGGGGAGGAAGAGAGGAGGGGGAGATGGGAGAAAGAATAGTGGCTTCCTCCCCTCAATTATGATATCTATAATTGTTGATTATTATTATTATTATTATTATTATTTTTTTTCTATGAACGAAAACCTTATTGATCAATAATAGGATAAAAAAAGTCAGGAAACAACATGATTATGCAAGATAAATTTCAGTCATAACATCGTTATATGAATGACCCCAACCCTTCGACTTTTATGCTCTCCAATTTATTTCCTAAATTATAAACAAATGAGATATTGTGACAATAAAACCCTCGAAAATGAAAATAATATGGTTGGAATCTCTAAAATTTGTTACAGTTTTATATCTATAAGTCCAAGTAAAGATTGTCTACTAATAGCATATGCTGGTTAGGTTAATTGACATAGTTTAATTATTACATTTAGAAGAGATCAGAGACATATCTAAATATGTGAGCCCTACATTTTTTGAAGGTTTCTAATAATTATGTCGACGAGTCCACATACTTTATGCATATGATAAGACTCCAAATATGTTCTTGAGCTCCAATAATTATATCGACGAGTCTTGTTTTGATAATTATGAATATGACCCCTCTCCTGATTCTTAATGGCATTAATCCAAAACTATCCACTTCAATGTCCACATATTTACCAACAAAAATGGGGCTCTACTTGTATCCACTTCAACGTTCATATGTTTCACACATGCATGGGGCTCTACTTGTATATAATTTCTTGTTTCTTTTGGGACCTCCAATACTGCAATAAAATAAGCATTCTATATTTGACAAGTGACTTGCATGATTATGGACATATTTTCATTGTGATTAGCATCGGGCAAAATCCTTTGAGGAGGGTCATTGTTTGCAAAGGATTTGGTCTGTTTGTCCTATCATAACTCTTATGTTGTACCATTGTAGTTTGATAGCCATATTCTTCTATCCTTTAGGCCACCGTTAAAACTTTAAAAATATAAATAGTTAAAATTGATAACTTAGTTAACAATATAATATATAAGATTTTCTAATAAGAGAACATTTTCGTGGAATTATAAGATTTTAGTGCCGTTTTGTCATCATCAAGTTGTTGACTTGAAATTTATCCGAGATCATAAGCAACAAGAGGAGAACGAGGATACAAATGCTTACCAAAAGAAGAGAGAAGAGAGCTAAGGTGGCACAAAGGAACTTCATGTCTAAAATGCAATGCAAAAGAGTTCCTTGTAGTTGTGCGTTTAAGGATATGTAATTAACCTCATGTTACTTATAGATAATCTACGAGGAGAATATTTGTCTTCAAAAGAATCAAGGCAGGACACTAGAGTCATGTTGGGTTTGGCGATGAATAAGATTCAAGACCTATGTAAGGACAACGACGATGAATATAAGAATAAAATATTATGGTACTAATCGCAATCGGGTAAAACTAGGGTATTTGTTTTGATTATTAGAAGAAATCAAAGGTGGATCTAGCAAGCGTTTTTTTGAAGTACAAAAAAAAAGAAAAAGGGTTAACTACTGTAAACCCCCCAGCCTATAAGGTCATTTACGAGTGCATACTTGATTTTGGGAACATTTATGAGTACATACTCAACGTCGCGGAAAACCTACAATTTGCCACCTGCGTTAGACAGATTGTTAGTCAGTCTGTTAAATGCTGACGTGTCAAAAGTGGGACCCCTTTTGTTGATGACTTGGACTTCCACGTGGACCAAAAAATAATTAAAAATTATTTTACTATTTAAATTATTTTAAAAAAAAATAAATAAAAACACACACACACACACACTCTCTCTCTCTCTCTCTCTCTCTCTCTCTCTCTCTGTGAGAACCCAGACCCAGAACATCTCATGAACATTGGACTCGTCATCGACTTGCTTCGCTGAGACGATCCTCCTACGTTGCCATTGGAGGAATCTGGCGCTCGACTCCGTCAGCGAGAAGAAGCATTTCCGGCGGAAGAAAGGCGATTTCATATTCACACCGCCTTTGTACGTTGACCTAAAGGAGAAGACCCGAGCCTTCATCAACTACCTGAAGGGCGACGATCGCTTGCTCCAGAAGCTTCCTCTGTGGTATTGCCACGATGACGCCGTCGCTGGCTCCGTCACCATCATCCTCTCCGCCGACGCCGAGCTCCGCTCGAATCCGAACGAGTGCGACACAAAATCTCTGCTGTTGATCAAATAACCCTCCTAGTAACAGGCGTGTTCTTGCCTCGCAGTTACACCAACCCTGCTCCTAAGCCTCGCAAGAAAGCAAGTAGTAATGGGAACTCTTTGCATTTTGAAATTGAGATTCTGAAACTCAACTATTTGTGATTAGGATTGTTTTGTTTCAATTAGGAACTATTTTGTTTAACATGTTGTGTTTAAATGACAGGTTTCCGAACTGTTCTGCTCCCCCAGTCAAGGTAGTTCAAGCCCTCAACTTGAACTTTGAGGACATGAACAGTTAAGCTCCGCCGCGTTTCAACTCCGGTTTGGCCCCATACCATGGTACGCCCCGTTATTTCCATTTATGTAAAGTTTGGTGTTTTAGATCTATCTATCAGTCTAATAAATTTTGTTGGTTTGAAAAAATCAACTCGGAAAGGAACAGGGCCTGTGGCGGGCATTTGGGAAAGTCGGGGTGATCAGGTGTCTTCATTCAAGCAATACAGATATGCAATTCTATTTGTGCTTTTAGCAAGTAGGCGATCCGAATCTATGGTTTCTATCAATCTGAAACCATACCAATTGTTTTTCAAAACGTGACCAAGTTCTCGAAGTCTAAAGTTGCAGGAGTTGGGGATTTGAGGGTTGGGCTATGTTGGGGAGGCGAGGTGATGGGTGGTAGTTTGGGGGATTGTTTTGGTGGCTGGAGTAGCTGGGTTCGTTGAGAGAGAGAGAGAGAGAGAGAGAGAGAGAGAGATATTTTCAAATAATTTAAACAATAAAATAATTTTTTTATTAATTTTTAATCCATGTGGAAGTCCACGTCATCAAAAAAAGGAGTCCCACTTTTGACACTTCAGCATTTAACAGACTGACTAATAGTCTGGCTAACGGAAGGGGCAAATTGTAGGTTTTCCGCGACGTTGAGTATGTACTCGTAAATGTCCCCAAAATCGGGTATACACTCGTAAATGACCCTATAGGTTGGGGAGTTTACTGTAGTTTACCCAAAAAAAAATTTGGATTTTTAACAAAAATTTCAAAGTTGTTCAAATAAAACCGCTTATGAGCTGAAAACGGCCCTAACTAGCTACATTTAAGTAAATTAATTAATTGCATTATGATGACTATAAATAAATAAATTTCTTTGTAGTTTTCCTATTCATTATTCTTAAAGTTTAACGCTACACATATATGACAACAAAAGTAGAGATTATTGCCAAAACCACATTCATGGTGGCCAAAGCATTCCTTTTATTAACTTAGGATTGAAAATTACATTCATGATCTAGCCACGTACAACATAAAACAGACATAAAACATAGACTTCTCTCAGAGCCAATGGCTTTTCTTTCAGTACATAGAAGCTTAGAAGCTACGTACAAGCCCGACAAGCTTATTATATTTTACAATAACACCACCAGGATTACAATAATTCAACCAATTAGCCTCTGTACACCAAAGGATTTGGCCTTGGCCTAAACTCTTCTTTTGCTGCAAATGACTGCTTAGCTTTAGGACCAGCATTGTCTTTGGAAGAGAGCTTTGCTTTAGTTTCATGATCATTGTACTGTGTGGTACTGGGTCTGGGTTCAAATTCCTCAACCTCAACCTCAACCTCAACAAAAGGTTTTTTCACTTTTTCATGGCAGTCGGCTTTCTCTTTTGGTGTTGAATCAGATATATCAACAAGGAGGCCTTCGATTGCCTGTGGCATAGGTTGCTCTTTCATGACATTTTTCCAGTATTTCCCGACATCTCTTCTTGAATCTATTGTTTTGGTAAACTGTTCCACAAGACAAAGAAAATAAAACAAATAAAAAGAAATTTCTAAGGCATTCTAAATGATCAGTTGAAATCTGTACTGTCAATTTAGATAACATATTTGACAAAAATTCACTTCAAATTGACAATTTGACAATATAATATGACATACGAAGAGAAATGTTCTCTTACCCTGTGTGGCAATATAAGATGTTTATATCGCTAGAATGTGAATATAAACTATTAATCAAGTTGATAATTTCTAGAATGTGCGGTCTAAGTTTACAGTATGACAACATAAGTTAGAGTCTGATAAGAGCATATTTTCATGCAAGCATAATATAAGATTTTTGGTTGCATTTGTCTTGTCAGTCCTATATATCTAGCAACTTCTTGGCTTTAAAAATTGATGACTTCATACAACAATAGGAAGAAGGGTATTATACAAATACTTACCAAAAGAAGAGAGAAAAGAGCTAAGATAGCACAAAGGGACTTCATGTCTACAAATGCTATGCAAAAGAGTTCATTGTAGTTGTATTTTTGAAAGATATGTAACCTCACTACTTATAGATAATTTACTAGAACGAAAGCATCAAGGCAGGCAGGACCTAATTATGGGCCCTAGATTTGTTTTTGAAGAATGGTCCCTGTAATTTTGATAATCATACTTTGGAACAAATCTGGGACGGATCTAATTATGGGCCCTAGATTTTTGGAAGGTTTCTAAAGTAGGTATGCCATGCTTTTCTATGTAGTCTAGTCGCACATTTTTTGTTTTTGTTTTTTATACGGGCAATATTAAGGAAGCAATATTACAGAAGGAGGGAATTAAACTTAGGACCTCAAATACAACAGTAAATACTCTTAACAACTTGAATTACAAGCAATTATAAGTATCGCGCAAGTAATTAACGAAAATTTTGACGATGAAGTGAATGTCGGAACCAGATTGCATAAAATTGAAAAGCTTAGAGTATGCAATCTTTAAAGTTGAGAGTGCAGGAACAAACGTGCCTTAAAAATAAAAGTTTAGGGTACTAGATTGAAATTAACCCTTGTATTACATACGTAACTATATCAATCGGCTTCACATTTATATGTTTTGCTTTGTCTTATGGGACTATCATTTATGTGGTTTATAATTCATATATAATTGTCTTTCTCGAAGTACGACGAAACCAAAGCAACGACTACATCAGAATAATCAAACGAAATCAGGATCAATGAAAGAAGATAACCTACTCTTGGCCTTTTTTGTCTTGGGTAAAGTGAGCAATTCAATCAAGGATTCTCATTTTATTACCCATTTCATAATAAAGAGATCACTTTATTCATATACCTATTAGCTTTTAATTTAGTAATATTTATTTTTTCTATAGTTCAAATCTAACTCCCCTCTTGGTTTCATTTAAAAAAATCTAACCCCCTCTTCCGTTAAAAAAATCAATTCATATACTTTAAATATATTAATAATCATCATTTTAGAACAACTATAGACTGTTTACACAATCTATTAAAAATTAATCTAATTAAATAAATAATTATGCAAAATACAATGCCTATAGCTTGTTTTCTTTTTCTTTTTAACAGAATAACTTCAAATCTTTGATATATATTTTTAAAACCAATCCAATACTTCATTAGGGGTTACGTAGTTTTTTTTGTTTTTTTTTTTTTTTTTTTTTTTTTTTTTTATAATTTAAAAAAAAAAATTTTGTGTGTTTCTCTCAATTATGATATATATTTTTATTGAGAAATTTTGGCATTTCATTTATAATTCAGTCAAAAAGGTCACTAGCCACAAAGGGCCAATACAAACCAGCCATAAATGGCCAATACAAACTATCAACAAAGGGCCATTATAATAACATGGTGATCTAACGTCGAACTCTCATAAAAAAGAAGTGGAAAACTCTCACATAAGGAGAGGTGAAAACTACGCAGAAAACTCAAAGAGTCTCTACGACTTATTCTAAACATATAGAAACCGCAAAAAGGATATGTGACAATTCGATGGTGAAATATAGGTGGAGTACCGACGCCAAGACGCACCTGTGATGGGTGGAGGAAATTCATAACAAAGCAAAGACAAAAACGGGAAACTTTTTATCACTGAAAATTGGGGAAGAAAAAGAAAGGAGAAGGGAGGAAGAGAGAAGCGGATTGGGGAGGAAGAGAGGAGGGGGAGATGGGAGAAAGAATAGTGGCTTCCTCCCCTCAATTATGATATTTATAATTGTTGATTTTTTATTTATTATTATTATTTTTTGTATGAACGAAAACTTTATTGATCAATAATAGGATAAAAAAAGTCAGGAAACAACATGATTATGCAAGATAAATTTCAGTCATAACATCGTTATATGAATGACCCCAATCCTTCGACTTTTATGCTCTCCAATTTATTTCCTAAATTATAAACAAATGAGATATTGTGACAATAAAACCCTCGAAAATGAAAATAATATGGTTGGAATCTCTAAAATTTGTTACAGTTTTATATCTATAAGTCCAAGTAAAGATTGTCTACTAATAGCATATGCTGGTTAGGTTAATTGACATAGTTTAATTATTACATTTAGAAGAGATCAGAGACATATCTAAATATGTGAGCCCTACATTTTTTGAAGGTTTCTAATAATTATGTCGACGAGTCCACATACTTTATGCATATGATAAGACTCCAAATATGTTCTTGAGCTCCAATAATTATATCGACGAGTCTTGTTTTGATAATTATGAATATGACCCCTCTCCTGATTCTTAATGGCATTAATCCAAAACTATCCACTTCAATGTCCACATATTTACCAACAAAAATGGGGCTCTACTTGTATCCACTTCAACGTTCATATGTTTCACACATGCATGGGGCTCTACTTGTATATAATTTCTTGTTTCTTTTGGGACCTCCAATACTGCAATAAAATAAGCATTCTATATTTGACAAGTGACTTGCATGATTATGGACATATTTTCATTGTGATTAGCATCGGGCAAAATCCTTTGAGGAGGGTCATTGTTTGCAAAGGATTTGGTCTGTTTGTCCTATCATAACTCTTATGTTGTACCATTGTAGTTTGATAATTAGAATCTTCTATCTTTTAGGCGACCGTTTAAACTCCAAAAATATAACGGAAATTATTTAGTCATCTAATTAGTATCAAATAAATAGACAAATTTAATAATTTGATTAAACAATTAATTATCATGGTTTAATTAAATGACTAACCGATATCTACTTTGGTTGAATTTTTTTAATTTTTTATTTTGTAGGAATGATTGTTGAATGATGATTTAGAAAATTAATTTAATTAAAGAAATAATTGTGGAAATACTATAACTAGAGCTTTATTTTATTTTATTTCTCTTTTTAACAGATTGTGTACTTCAAAATTTTTTACACCAATCGTATACTAGTACTTCATCAATGGCTGCTTATGTAGATTTCTTTTTTATAATTTTTTTTTAAATATGTGTTCTTCATTATAAGAAAATGATATGAATTTTGTTTACACCCTTACGGGCTAGGGCAATGGCAATTACTATTCACATGAGATATGACGAGATGAATTTCTATAGAGTTTTTGGTGTGGGAAGTAAAGAATATGGCTAGGTGTTTATTTTAAAAAATTCTGAATTTTTGGTTTTTTTTTCTTCAATTTTTTTGGTTGCTGATGTCATTATGACATTAGCATTGTGTCAACAGCCTACGGGCAACAACCTAGGCAATTCTTGCCTATGGGCTTGCCTGGGCTCGTGGGACCCACCCATTGCTCGAGCTGGACTTGGCGTGTTGGAGATGCAATTTGGCCCTTGAGCCCCCTCCTGCCCGGGTATGCCCTGCACAGTGGATTTGCCCTTAAAGTTTAGTTTTTCCTGGGGAAATAATTTCTTTGAGAAATAGCTTTTATATGTCTAGATATTCAAAGATTAGAACTTTATATATCTTTGTGGTGGCTCTTTCAAAATTACCAGATGAACAAATGGCAAGGACTTTTAACAAGGGAAGAAACATGGCTTCAGGACTTGCTCTCTGGAGCCCCTTACTTCATCTACTTGTGCTTGTTATGGTAACTTCAATTTATTCCCACTCTTCATATTCTTATCATTTAATTGAGGGAAATTTGATGATGCCGCAGCATAGGAATCTCTTGTTCTAATAACTGTTAGTTTTCCTTTAAATTTAAGCTTTTTTTTTCTTTTCTTTTTTTGGTTTCTGCTTAAATATGGTGCAGTGTGTTCAAGGAACTGGAGGCAGGAAGATGAGTGAGACACAAGATGGTGATGGCCATGAAACGACACATACAGAGCATGCTCATGCACATCATCCATCATCCCACATGCATCATCACATGGACCCTTCAGTTATGATTTTCTTCACCTTGGAGGATCTAAAGGAGGGCAAAACCATGGCCATCTATTTTCCCAAAAGAAACCCTTCAAAATCCCCCCACTTGTTACCAAGAGAAGAAGCTGATCAAATTCCTTTCTCATCAAAACAACTCCTCCACCTCTTTCACTTCTTCTCCTTCTCTCAAGACTCTCCCCAAGCCAAGGCCATGGAAGACACTCTCAGGGAGTGTGAGATTCAACCCATCAAGGGAGAGATCAAGTCCTGTGCTACATCCCTAGATTCCATGCTTGACTTCACACGTGGCGTCTTCGGATTGGACACCCCTTTCAGTGTTGTGGCCACAATCCATCTCACAAATTCAACTACCAATTTCCAGAACTACACTATTTTAGAAGAGCCCAAGGAGATTTTGGCTCCCAAGATGGTGGCTTGCCACACCATGCCTTACCCTTACGCAGTTTTCTACTGCCACAGCCAGAAAAGTGTGAACAAGGTTTTCAAGGTTTTGTTGGGTGGTGAGGATGGAGATAGGGTAGAAGCTGTTGCTGTTTGTCACTTGGACACCTCTCAATGGAACCCTAATCATGCATCTTTCAGTGTGCTTAGGACTAAGCCAGGGGCTTCTGCTGTGTGTCATTTCTTTCATGCTGATAATCTTGTGTGGGTTCCAGCATCCACTTCAATGTAGTAATTTGGTTTTTTTTATCACAAAACGTCCCTGACGTTTGTGAAACTATCAAATTGCATCCTTAAAGTTTTTTTGTATCATTCATGGTCCCTAACGTTAATAGAGTGCTCTTAAATAGTCTATTTGTAAAAAAAAATTGTTAAATCCAAGGATATAATTGTCAAATCAATCCAAAATTATAATATATATATATTTTATTACCTTCCCTTCTCTCTTTCTTTCTTCTTCTTCTTTCTCTCTTTCTTTTCTTCTTCTTCTTTCTCTCCCCGCCAGTATCATATTGTGGCGTTTTGTTGGAAAATTAAATTATTCTCTTTAGGCCTGGTCCTCTTGTTATTCAATGGTTGTAGAAACTAAAAGTGAAAAAACCAAGGGTTTAGGGTTCATAAATGGTCCTCAAGGTTAAAATCCTTCTATAAATGGTTTTTTCATTTTTAAATTTTATGAATTTTAAATTATTTAAAAAAAATTCATTAGTTTGTTGATGTGGCATATATGTGGAGCCCACATCTTAAAAAATATATTGTCACGTGTATTTAAAATACAATATCTATTTTTTAAATAATTTAAAAAAGAAAAGAAAAATTTTATGAATATTAAATTAAAAAATTAAAAAATTTCGTAGGTGTCGGGGCTTTTTCTTCCGACAATTACAAATGAGCCGGGCTACCATAAGGAGCGAATTGATGGCATTATCCCTTGTGTCTGAGTTCAAATATCAAGCCCCAAAAATAATTTGAAAGGATAGTGAAGTCTTAGGAAACACCTTGGTTACCTTCACCAACAAAAATAACAACAGCTTACAGATAGACTTTTTAGCTTGGCATGAGAGGCTTGTGGCATGAAAGCAAAATTGTCATGAGTTTAGCATTGAAGAGAAAGCTATGCGTTCTTGGGGGGAAAAAGGGGTGTTAAGGCAAGAGAGGAAGGGTTTGCAGGAAGGTTTGGATGCAAATGAGGGAAAGAGAGGAGAATGAGTGTTTTTCTGGTAGCTTGACAGAGGTTCTGTCGAATATTAGAACAGTCTGCCAGAAAAGGGAAAATGAGGGAAAAGGATAAATATAGCACGAATTTGATGGGTTCTGCAGGTAAGAGAGGAAGCTTGCTATCTGGATGTGGTTTAAGATGATGGGTAGGAAATGCCTTTTTTTATAGGCATTGTAAGCTACTCTTTTCCAAGAAACCCTAATAGTTTCTATCCAGTTTGGCCAAGATTTTTCCTTCCTTTCTCCTCCCTTCCTTTGACTTATCCTATTTGGTGAAATTCTCTCTGCATATTTGCACAAAATCAGGGATTTTTGGGAGCTCAATGCTCTTCCCGCAACTGCCTCAGTGGAGAACTCCCATTTTTAGCCATCTTTCTTCCTTCTTTTCTCCCCTCTTCTATGGCTAGATCTGATGGGGAAAATAAATGGGTATGTACATTGGTTTGAAGGATGTTTTACTCAAGTATCCCTTGGTTTTTCTGATGGCTTGGGTTGAGTTTGTCTTTGGCAATGTGCTGGAGATTCCCAGCAGCCTGCAGATGTGAGTGACTTTTGGCTTTTGTCATGGTTTTGTCTCCAGCCATGTGCTAGAGACTTTCAGATATTTGTTGGTCACTTGGGCTAGTTCACTAAAGGGATAGGTCAACTTCCCAAAGTGATGGGCTATCTTTTCTAAGGTAATGGACTATTTTCTCTCCTTTATACTTACCCACATATTTGAGCTCAAGAAATGGGCTTGAGTTTCGGGGCTCCCAAGCAGCCCAAAACTTTCATTTCTTGGCTCATCAATGGGCCTCATAAAAACTCGTAACCATCCATACCACAACCCGCTCAACAAGCCTCATGCATTCGCGTGGCTTGGGCCCACTTAAGCTTGTAGCGTAGTTGGGTGTGAAATAATGATTTCCTGCTTAGCATGACTTGGCGTGTTTAATTTTATGAAGAGGGACATAATCCTTAATTAGCATAAGCTTGTAAAGCCAATGTATTTTATAATCTTTATCTCAATTCCTAGCATGACGGATTATTTATTTGGCATGGCATGTGGACTGTGACTTGTGCATGGCGGATTTTCGTGTGCTCCCAATTCGGTCTTTTCTTAATAAGGTATTGTATTAGGCTGAGAATTTATTCAGGCCCAGCCGTGGATTTTTTGGGCCTCAACAATGGGGACCATTTGTGATAGGTGCGTGAACCTCAGGGATATTTTGTGATATATATCTATATATATATATATATATGTCACGTCAGCAAACTAACAGAGTTTTTGATATAACCTAACAGCATGGACCATTTGTGATCACACATACTAATCTTGAGGACCACGAATGACACAAAAAAACATTAAAGATGCAATCTGATAGTTTCGTAAACCTTAGGGACATTTTGTGATATTAAGCCAAGCTAAAAAACAAACGTTTTCGAATTACAACATTGCATAATGAGAATGAGAATAGAGAAGATAGAAGGAGGATGTATAAAGGGAGGTATCTAACATTTCCTTCTTTTTTTTTTTTCCCATATATGATATATAGGTAGTAATTAAACCAAGAAATGTTTTGAGACATACATTATATAAGCCTTCCTAAAATTTGTTGAAACTTTATACCTGTAGTTCCAAGTCAAGATTAACAAGTCAATTGAAATGTACAAAAATTTAAATCACTCATTCCATTTTGGAATTTGGAAAAAAAAAGTTTTCCATGTCGGAAAAATAATAAGGTTAAATTTGGCACTTCATTTGAATATTTGGCCTTCCCTATTTGTGCCTAAATTCCTAGAAATAATTAAGTATGGGTTATCATTTATCTTTATCAACGGCAGAGAAGATCTAATCAAATATAAAGGTTGGTGACATTTTGTTTTTGTGCAGGTAATTACCATATACATGTCCTTGCTGGTCTCTTTTTGTGTGAAATGCTAAGTCATTAAGTTTGATTTAGTATAGTTTTTGTCCGCTAGTTTTACTTTTAGAATGTTAGTTTGTTGCCCTCTTGGGATTGGTACCTTAGATGTCTTTGATTATACTATTGAAATTTATCTAATGAAATTTATCTTTGATTAAAAAAATAAATAGTTAAATCTGAAATCGAATTTTAGTACCCTGCTTTTGAAATCAATTTTCACCTTTTTACAAACTAAAAATTGAAATGAGTTATAAAACAAGTTTTTACTTTTCAATTTTTGAAGAAAATGAAAATGAAAATATTATCAAACAATCCCTAAAGAAAGCCCAAAAGGCCCCAAAAGACCAAAAGCCCTCCCACATGAAAAGCATGGATCTTGAGTTTTTCACTTTGGATATTCAGAAAGGAAAAACTTGGCTTCTTATATTTAAGGAGTCATTGCTTCATGCAGATAAATTAGTCTGTTATGTGTTTCTTTTTGTAATTTTAATAAGTTATTTGTTCATAAAAAATAGGAGTATTTGTGAATATGTACCAGATAGTAATTTGTTCGTATGGAGGAATGACTTACAAGGAGCTAAGCAGTGTCCATTGATATATCATCCAAGCCGTTGTGCATTGATTGAATGAAGAGGATTTCACTAATAAATTCATTTTAGCATGACATAATATACAAAAGTCCTTATAGAGCCTATTTGGAGTGAAAAAACCAAGCTTGGAAGCTAGTTCAGTTACCAAAGGACAAGAAAGCTATTGTGTGCAAATGAGTTTATACCAAGAATATGAAATCTTTGGAAAAAGGCAATGTGCCTAAGATTGATCAGTCCATGGTTACTTATCATTTTGTACCATCCTAACTTATCTTTTGGTTATGGTTATAGACGAAACTTGTGCTTTTAACCTTTTTCATTTTTTATGTCTTAGTTTCATTGTGTTAAGCTTTAGGACTCATTTAATGCATTTTGGAGTCAAGATAGCCCAAAAGTGTCTCTACAGATCAGTCAACTTCATGGATTGAGCTATAAGTACTCATGAAGAACCAGCTAGTGATGTGGAAGTGTAGTTTCTGGAGCATTTTACAATTCATGATTCCGAGTTCGGTAGAAGAAGATAAGACAATTTTGGTGAGAGATGTTCATTTCAAAAATTGTACTTGGAAATTGCCATGTCACCATTGCCATATCATAATGCCATGGCATCTTTAAGTCCAAGTCAGTAGCCACACATGGGGGCTGATATCAAGAACAGATGGGAGACTAATTAGGCTTGGGAAATCACAAAGATGTTCAGAAGTCAAGCATTGGAAGACCGAACCAAATGGTAACCCAGCATTTATTGGACAATTAGAGCAGTTGGTATTTAATGGGGTAGCTGGGTAGCTGAAAGAGGTAGTGCTTCACAAGCCAAGGGGGAGAACGAAATTGAAGACTTAAACACTCTATAAAATAGGGCAGCAGCTGAAGAGAAGGGCAACTTTTCACACTCCAACAACCTGATACATTACCCAGCAATCACCCCAAAACTCTAAACACTCCAAATCACCAAAACAGTCTGAAGAAGCCTCTCTGCCATTTTCATACGAATTCCTCCTTTCTCAACGATCACTAGTCACCCAAATTCATTCCAAATCATCTCCTTAAATTTATACATCCTTCTAGATGTGGAGAATCTCTTGGAGAAGGCACTAGACATCACAAGAACTTCATAAAAGGGTTTTTCTACTCTGATTGTATTAATTATGTTTTATCATTTATGTACGTTATTTTGACATTATGAATAGCTAAATTCATATTTAGGGTTTCGATGTAACCTAACATGAATATTCTGGATTTATAATTTTAAAGCTTCAAGTTTGATTCAAGATTCATGCTCATATTCATTATGCCTATAGATGCCTATATGATGGTCTGAATGCCTAGCTACCATTGAGATTTGTGTATTTTGGTGGAGATTAATGTAGAAACCATATGCTTTTGTTTCAATTGAACTATTAATAAGATGAGTATGTATGGATAACTGCCAATAAGGCTTGGTTGTTTAAAACATTCTTCTATGCTTAATGAATTTATAATGCTTGATTTAAGTTCGATAATAGGGACTTAATTAGGGAATTAAGAATACAAGATTAAAGCCAAACATCATGGTTTAACCATATCTTAGAAAGAATCAATATGTGAATATGAATTAGACTTGTTACTTGAATCCTTATAACCTAATATTGGATTGTTATGGTGAATTGAATGCTCTAGTCTCAAAATCTGTTTTCCAACCATTAAGACCGCTCTTTGATACACCTATATACTTTGTTTGTGTTGCAAGTTCGTTTTTCTTAACTATCATTCAAAATCAATCTCGTTTTCAATTCTTTTTTAGTCTGAACTTCCTGTTTTCTTGAATTGGGTAATCTAAGTACGTAACTAAGTTTAACTTCTCAATTCTCGTGGGTACAGCCTCGTACTTGTCTTGCTATACTATCTAATTGGCTTGTACACTTACAAGTTATCAAAGATTCAAAGCTAGATTGGTAGCTAAACGTTATGCTCAAAAGGGAGATTGAAAAATTGAAGACTAAAATTGAGTAATGAATTTGAGATGAATGATTTGGGAGAAGTTGCTCGGTATGGAACTTGAAAGAGAAAAAGCAAAAAGCAAGATTATTCTATGTCATAAGATAAATAAAAACCAGTTAGTACACCTGCCCCTCATTTCAAACTTAGTTTTTCATTGTCTTCTAGCATTGATTATGAGAGTCGTTACATGACTCAAATTCCATATGCGAGTGTTGTTGGTAGTTTGATGTACACCATGGGTTGTACTACGCATGATATTCATAAGCTGTTAGTATTGTGAGTAGATATATGTATAATCCTAGAAAAGGATATTGGTAGGTTGCGAAATGGATTCTACGGTATATTCTAGGTAATGTGGATATAGGTTTATTGTTTCAGCGAGATAATGATATTGGTCAACGTGGACTGATTACGTAGGTGATTTAGACAAGCGTAAGTCCACAACTGATTTTGTACTCACTCTTGTTGAAGGATCAGTGAGTTGGAAGTCAACTTTGCAATCTATAGTTGCTTTATCCACTACACGGCGGCAGCAAAGGTTATTAATGAAGCTATTTGGTTTCAAGGGTTGCTTGATGACTTGGGGGTTCTACAGGACCGTGTGGGCGTTCGTTGTGACAACCAGAGTGCTATTCATTTAGCAAAGAATCAAGTTCATCATCATGTACGGATGAAACACATTTATATGATGTTCCATTTGTTTGTGAGATTGTTAATGAAGGATTTATTATTCTTCAGAAAATTGGGACCAATGATAATGCTGCAGATATGTTGACGAAGACAGTTAGTTTACTCAAGTTTAAGCAGCTTAAACTTGATTGGTGATTGAGAGACGACAGTTAGGAGTAATATTTCGAATGCTTGGTACAATTTGATCCAAGATGGAGATTGTTAATTGTTGTCTCAAATTGGGCATGTGAAAGTTTCTGGAAATTTGGTCTCATGACAAATTGGGCCTCAAGTTTTTGGAGATATCGTCTCAAGACAAAGTGGAGAGAAACTTTGGCCCTCGTGTGTGACCTTTTAGTTGGCCACGTGACTTGGTGTCTTGGACTGTTATCAGCCATTGAACTTGGCTTATTGAAGAAGCCACTTGAGTAATATGATGGCCAAGAATTAATCGCTTGTTGGGCACACTCTACTATAGTAAGGGAACCCCGAGGTGAGGATTTGAAGAGTCTCCTTTTTGTATTGGTTGTAGCATCATTGGAATTGATAAGATATCATTGAGCAGCTGCACCTTTTGTGAGGAAGAGGAGAAGAGAAAGATGGCCCAACGACAAAGGGAGACATACTCTCAAATTGTTCTTGCTTCTACATACATATTGTATTAGTTTTGGTTTCTGTTTTTCATTATTTGAGTGTGTGAGCTTGGGTGTATTTGAGATTTAGAGTTTCTTGAGTGATAAACAATTTTTATGCTCTCTTTTGATTATAGTGAATTGCTTTGTCATCTCCAAACTGAACATATGCCTACAAAGCCGAAAATCTTGGTGTTCTGGTTGTTGTTTGGTTTGCTTTCTTTGTCTTAGCTTATTCTTGTTTTCTTGCACTCACTATCTAGCACGTGTTTGATTGACGCTTCTGCACAAGAAGGACAATGATGATGATTATAATAAAACATCGCAATCAGGTAAAATTAGGGTATTTGTTTTTATTATTACAGGAAATCAATGGCAGATCTAGCAAGCACTTTTTGAAGAAGTACAATAAAAAATTTGAATTTTTAACAAAAAATTCGACGTTCTTCCACTAGCTACAGTTAAATAAATAAATTGCATCTTTTAGTATGATGACTATAAGTAAATAAATTTCTTTGTAGTTTCCTATTTATTATTCTTAAAGTTTAACACTACAAATACATGACAACAAAAGTAGAGACTATTGTCAAAACCACATTCATGGTGGCCAAAGCATTCCTTTTATTAACTTAGAATTGAAAATTACATTCATGACCTAGCTATACGTACATGAAACATACATAAAACAGAGACTTTCTCTTAGAGCCAATGGCTTTTTTATTAGTACATAGAAGCTTAGAAGCTACGTACAAGCCCGGCAAGCTTATTATATTTTACAATAACACTGCCAGGATTGCAATAATTCAACCTCTTAGTCATTGTAAACCGAAACATTTGGCCTTGGCTCAAAATCTTCCTCAAAAGGCTGCTTATCTTCTTTGGCTGCAAATGACTGCTTAGCTTTGGGACCAGCATTGTCTTTGGAAGAGAGCTCTGCTTTAGTTTCATCATCATTGTAGGATGAGACATTGGGTCTGGGTTCAAATTCCTCAACCTCAACCTCCACCTCAACAAAAGGTTTTTTCACTTTTTCATGGCAGTCGGCTTTCTCTTTTGCTGTTGAATCAGAAATATCAACAAGGAGGCCTTCAATTGCCCGTGGCATAGGTTGCTCTTTCATGACATTTTTCCAGTATTTCCCGACATCTCTTCTTGAATCTATAGTTTTGGCAAACTGTTCCACAAGACAAAGAAAAAAAAACAAATAAAAAGTTATAGAAATTTCTAAGGCGTTCTAAATGATCATATATATATATATATATATCATGTTGAAATCTATATTGTGTTAATTTAGACCACATATTTGACAAAAAATTCACTTTAAATTGACAGTTTGACAATATAATATGACATACGAAGAGAACTGTTTTCTTTATGTTATGTGAATATAAACCAGTAATCATGTTAATTATTGCTAGAATATGCAGTCTAGTTTATAATATGACAACATAAGTTAGAGTCTAATAAGAGATTATTTTCATGCAAGCATAATATAAGATTTTTGGTTGCATTTGTCTTGTCAGTCCTATATATCTAGCAACTTCTTGGCTTAAAAAATGAGTGACTTCATAAGCAATAATAGGGAGGAGTATATTATACAAATACTTACCAAAAGAAGAGAGAAAAGAGCTAAGATAGCACAAAGGGACTTCATATGTCTACAAATGCTATGCAAAAGAGTTCTTTGTAGTTGTCTTTTTGAAGGATATGCAACCTCACTACTTATAGATAATTTACTACAACGAAAGCATCAAGGCAGGCAGGACCTAATTATGGGCCCCATATATATATATATATATATATATTGAAATTTGTATATTCATACTTGGAACAAATCTGGGCGGGATTTAATTATGGGGCCTAGATCTTTGGAAGGCTTCTAAATAGATATGTTTTTCTATGTATGATGTATCCATGTTTGTGTGTCATTTTATTTATTTATAATACAAACCGATATTAGCATAGGAGGGAATTCAACTTACGATCTTAAATGTAGGAGTAAATACTCTTAATCAGGGGCGGAGCTAGAATTGTAAAGTTAAGGGGGGCAAAGTAAAAAATACAAGTATCTAAAACACCTAAGTATTCAATAGTTACATGTTTAGAGTTAAAGTTTCAAATTTAGTCATGCCTAATTTGTTTTAGACGAAATTTTAAAATTTTTTTTTAATTATAAGTTGCTTATTACAAATTCTATATGTTATATATAATATAATAGAGGAGAGATCAAATCTAAGGCGGCCAGGACCACTTCATGCCTAAAAATAACTCCGCCACAGTTCTTAACCACTATATCACTTGACGTATGTTCTTGGGCTCCAATAATTAGATCAACGAGGCTTTACCAGATAACTTGGAATATATTATTCTCGACTGATTCTTAATGGCATTAATCCAAAAACATCCACTTCAATGTCCACATAGTTTTACCATAAAAAATGTAAACATGTTTAACACATGCATGCATGGAGTTCTACTTGTAAATAATTTCTTGTTCTTTTTGGACGTCTAATAATGCAATAAGCATTTTATATGTGACAAGTGAAAACTAAGTTGCATGATTATGGACATATATTCTTTATGAGTCATGACTAATATCGGACCAGATCCTTTGCGGGGATCATTGTTGACAAAGGATTTGGTCTACTAATCCAATGTAATTTGATAATCGGAAATGCCTATCTTTTAATCGTTCTTTAAAACTGAAATTAGAATCAATGAAAAATCATAATTGAAATTTTAGGATGGAATCTCTTTTTCTACTAAAACTGCAACAAATTTTAGGACGGTTCAACCATAATACAAAAAAAATCAGTTATGAATGACCCCAACCCGTCATTATATGTGCTGTTTGATTTATTTCCTAAATTATAAGCAAATGAGAAATTATAACCCAAAAAACCTCAAATGAAAATATGATGGTTGGATCATCCTAAAATTTGTTACAGTTTTTTGCTTTTTCAGAAAATTAGCTATAATTATATTAATATTTGGGCACAAAGACCAAATACCTATAAAAAGTTATTACAAAGATGGATGTATAATAACCGCAAAGGGTTAATTCAGATATAAGAGGATACACCGGTGATATTGCACGGCTTGTATGTCCACTAATAGCCCTAAAAAAACCAAATACATTTTAACATAACAATCACACGCCCGAATAAATCAAACATGAAATGCATCACCCAAAATTATAAATACAAACTACAATTTTATATCTATGAGCTCAAGTAAAGATCGTCCACTAATATTTCACAGTTTGATTATTATAGTTAGAAGAAATCAGGGCGTATCTAAACATGGGCCTTAGATTTTTGGAAGATTTCTAAAATAGATATGATTTTTTCTATTAATAAATCTAACACGTATTGTGCATGTGATGTGACTCCATATATATGTTCTTGGGCTCCGATAATTTTCTGATAATAATTAAGAAGATGACCCTCTATTTATTCTTAATGGCAATAATCCAAAACTATCCACCTCAATGTCCCCACTTATACCAACAAAAATGTTCATATGTTTCACACATGCATGGGGCTCTACTTGTAAATAATATCTTGTTTCTTTTGGGACCTCCAATAACCTCCAATAATGCAATAAAATAAGCATTCCATATTTGACAAGTGACTTGCATGATTTGGCAAGATCCTTTGAGGGTCATTGTTGCCAAAGGATTTGGTCTGTTTATCCAATCATAACTCTTATAATCCTCTATCATTAAAACTCTAAAAATATAAACGAAAACGAAAATTGTTTAGTCATCCAATTGGTACAAATACATGACAACAAAAGTAGAGACTATTGCCAAAACCACATTCATGGTGGCCAAAGCATTCCTTTTATTAACTTAGAATTGAAAATTACATTCATGACCTAGCTACGTACATAAAACAGACATAAAACAGACTTTTTCTTAGAGCCAATGACTTTTTTTTTAGTACATAGAAGCTTAGAAGCTACGTACAAGCCCGGCAAGCTTATTATGTTTTACAATAACACCACCAGAATTGCAATGATTCAAACTCTTAGTCATTGTAAACCGAAACATTTGGCCTTGGCTCAAAATCTTCCTCAAATGGCTGCTTATCTTCTTTTGCTGCAAATGACTGCTTCGCTTTAGGACCAGCATTGTCTTTGGAAGAGAGCTTTGCTTTAGTTTCATCATCATTCTAGGATGTGGCACTGGGTCTGGGTTCAAATTCCTCAACCTCAACAAAAGGTTTTTTTACTTTTTCATGGCAGTCGGCTTTCTCTTTTGGTGTCGAATCAGAAATATCAACAAGGAGGCCTTCAATTGCCTGTGGCATAGGTTGCTCTTTCATGACATTTTTCCAGTATTTCCCGACTTCTCTTCTTGACTCTATAGTTTTGGCAAACTGTTCCACAAGGCAAAGAAAATAAAAAGAAATTTCTAAGGCATTCTAAATGATCATATTGAAATTCTATATTGTCAATTTAGATCACATATTTGACAAAAAATCACTTCAAATTGACTATTTGACAATATAATATGACATACGAAGAGAAATGTTCTCTTACCCTTTGTGACAATATAAGATGTTTATGTTGCTCTAATGTGAATATAAACAATTAATCAAGTTGATTATTTCTAAAATGTGCAGTCTAAGTTGTACAGTATGCCAACATAAGTTAGAGTTTGATAAGAGAATATTTTCACGCAAGCATAATATATAAGATTTTTCGTTGTATTTGTCTTGTCAGTCCTATATATCTAGCAACTTCTTGGCTTTAAAAATTAGTGACTTCATAAGCAACAATAGGAAGAAAGGGTATTATACAAATACTTGCCAAAATAAGAGAGAAAATTGCTAAGATAGCACAAAGGGACTTCATGTCTACAAATACTATACGAAAGAGTTCTTTGTAGTTGTACTTTTGAAGGATATGTAACCTCACTACTTATAGATAATTTACTACAACGAAGGCTTCAAGGCAGGCAGGACCCAATTATGGGCCCTTTATTATTATTATTATTATTATTATTATTATTATTATTATTATTTGGTGAAATTTTGATAATAATACTTGGAACAAATCTGGGGAGGATCTAATTATGGGCCCTAGATGTTTGGAAGGTTTCTGAATAGATATGTTTTTCTATGTAGCCCATGTTTGTGTGTTTTTATTTTTACAAATTTATAAATAAACCCAATCCTAGACATGTATTTATAAAAATCCCAAGCACTATTTAAACATAGAAACATACCCAAAATCAACCCCAAAATCAATAATTGTATATTTTTTGGGTGTGTTTATAAATGGGTTTTGAGTGTGTGTAATGATGGGTTTTTGGTGTGTTTATAAAGTGTTTTGGGTGTTGGGTTTTTTTATATTTTCAGCCTCCATTTTGGGTGTTTTAGTGAAAACTCCATTTTATTTATATTTATAATACAAAGATATTAGGATAGGCGAAAATTAAACTTAGGATTTCGAATGTAGAAGTAAATACTTCTAATCACTTGAGCTACAAGCAATGATAAGTCTCACACATAAATTTGTGGATACGATATGACTCGACATATGTTCTTGGGGTCCAATAATTAGATCAACGAGGCGTTTCCAGATAATAGGATTATTAATCTTGACCGATTCTTAATGGCATTAATCCAAAACATCCATTTCAATGTCCACATAGCTTTACAATAAAAAAAATGTAAGCATGTTTAACACATGCATCCATTATGGACATATATTCATTATGACTAATATCGGACAAGATACTCTGCGGGTTGTTGTCGACAAAGGATTTGGTCTACTAATCCAATCATAAATAACTCTTACTTTGTACGATTACTCATATTATAATATTTTATTAGGTAATTATCTTTTTCTTTTATTTCTTTTATATCGTTCTTATTCTACAATGTAATTTCATAATCAGAAACACCTATTTTTTAGACCGTTCTTTAAAAATGAAATCTTGATCAATGAAAGAAGATATTCACAATTGAAAGTTTAGGACGAAATATCTTTTTCTACTAAAATTGTAATATATATATATATATATATATATGACAGTCCAACCATAATACAAAAAATTTCAGTTATGAATGACCCCCAACCCGTCAACTTATATGTGCTGATTTACTTCCTAAATTTTAAGCAAATGAGAAATTATAAACAAAAAAACCTCAAATGAAAATATGATGGTTGGACCATCCTAAAATTTGTTACAATTTTATTATTATTTAAAATTAGTGATAACTGTATTCAATATTTGGGCACAAAGACCAAATACCCGTAAAGGGTTAATACAAAAATGGATGTACAGTTACCACAAAGGGTTAATTTAGATATAAGAGGATATACCGATGATATTGCATGACTTGTATCTGAACTAATAGCCCTAAAGACTAAATACATTTTAATGTAACAGTCACACGCCTTAGCAAATCAAACATGGAATACATCACCCAAAATTATAAATACAACTACAATTTTATATCTATGAGCTCAAGTAAAGATCGTCCACTAATATTTCACAGTTTGATTATTTATACTTAGAAGAAACAAGGGGTGTATCTAAATATGGGCCTTAGATTTTTGGAAGATTTCTAAAATAGATATGATTTTTTCTATTAATAAATCTCACACGTACTGTGCATGTGATATGACTCTATATATGTTCTTGGGCTCCAATCATTTTCTGATAATAATTAGGAAGATGACCCTCTATTTATTCTTAATGGCAATAATCCAAAGCTATATATCCACTTCAATGTCCACATATACCAACAAAAATGTTCATATGTTTCACACATGCATGGGGCTTTACTTGTAAATAATTTCTTGTTTCTTTTGGGACCTCCAATAATGCAATAACATAAGCATTCCATATTTGACAAGTGACTTGCATGATTACGGACGTATTTTCATTGTGATTAGCATCGGGCAAGATCCTTTGAGGGTCATTGTTGACAAAGGATTTGGTCTGTTTATCCAATCATAACTCTTACGTTGTACCATTGTAGTTTGATAACCATATTCTTCTATCCTTTAGGCCACCGTTAAAACTTTAAAAATATAAACGAAAACGGAAATTGTTTAGTCATCTAATTGCTACAAATACATGATAACAAAAGTAGAGACTATTGTCAAAACCACATTCATGGTGGCCAAAGCATTCCTTTTATTAACTTAGAATTGAAAATTACATTCATGACTTAGCTACGTACATAAAACAGACATAAAACAGAGACTTTCTCTTAGAGCCAATGGCTTTTTTTTAGTACATGGAAGCTTAGAAGCTACGTACATAAAACAGACATAAAACAGAGACTTTCTCTTAGAGCCAATGGCTTTTTTTTAGTACATAGAAGCTTAGAAGCTACGTACAAGCCCGGCAAGCTTATTATATTTTACAATAACACCACCAGAATTGCAATAATTCAACCTCTTAGTCATTGTAAACCGAAACATTTGGCCTTGGCTCAAAATCTTCCTCAAAAGGCTGCTTATCTTCTTTTGCTGCAAATGACTGCTTAGCTTTGGGACCAGCATTGTCTTTGGAAGAGAGCTCTGCTTTAGTTTCATCATCATTGTAGGATGAGACATTGGGTCTGGGTTCAAATTCCTCAACTTCCACCTCAACCTCAACAAAAGGTTTTTTCACTTTTTCATGGCAGTCGGCTTTCACTTTTGGTGTTGAATCAGAAATGTCAACAAGGAGGCCTTCAATTGCCTGTGGCATAGGTTGCTCTTTCATAACATTTTTCCAGTATTTCCCGACATCTCTTCTTGACTCTATAGTTTTGGCAAACTGTTCCACAAGACAAAGAAAATAAAAATAAATTTATAAGGCTTTCTAAATGATCATGTTGAAATCTATACTGTCAATTCAGATCACATATTTGACAAAAATTCACTTCAAATTGACAAATTGACAATATAATATGACATACGAAGAGAAATGTTCTCTTACCCTGTGTGGCAATATAAGATGTTTATGTTACTAGAATGTGAATATAAACCATTAATCAAGTTGATTATTTCTAAAATGTGTGGTCTAAAATGTGCGGTCTAAGTTTACAGTATACCAACATAAGTTAGAGTATGATAAGAGAATATTTTCATGCAAGCATAATATAAGATTTTTGGTTGTATTTGTCTTGTCAGTCCTATATATCTAGCAACTTCTTGGCTTTAAAAATTGGCGACTTCATAAGCAACAATAGGAAGAAAGGGTATTTATACAAATACTTACCAAAATAAGAGAGAAAAGAGCTAAGATAGCACAAGGGGACTTCATGTCTACAAATATTATAAAAAAGAGTTCTTTGTAGTTGTATTTTTGAAGGATATGTAACCTCACTACTTATAGATAATTTACTACAACGAAAGCATCAAGGCAGGCAGGACCCAATTATGGGCCCTTTATTTTTTATTCTTTTTGTTATGAAATTTTGATAATAAAACTTGGAACAAATCTGGGGCGAATCTAATTATGGGCCTTAGATCTTTGGAAGGTTTCTAAATAGATATGTTTTTCTATGTAGCCCATGTTTGTGGGTTATTTTTTTATTTATGTTACAACTATATTAGGATAGGAGAGAATTAAATTTAGGATCTCAAATGTAGAAGCAAATATTCTCAATCACTTGAGCTACAAATAAATCTCACACATAAATTTGTGTATATGATATGACTCGACATATGTTCTTGGGGTCCAATAATTAGTTCCACGAGGCTTTTTAGGATTATTATTCTTGACCGATTCTTAATGGCATTAATCCAAAACATCCATTTCAACGTCCACATAGCTTTACCATAAAAAATGTAAACATGTTTAACACTTGCATGCATGGAGTTCTACTTGTAAATAATTAATTTCTTGTTCTTTTTGGACGTCCAATAATGCAATAAGCATTTTATACGTGACATGATTATGGACATATATTCATTATGACTAATATCGGACAAGATCCTCTGCGGGTCGTTGTTGACAAAGGATTTGGTCTACTAATCCAATCATAAATAACTCTTACTTTGTACGATTACTCATATTATAATATTTTATGAGGTAATTATCTTTTTCTTTTATTTCTTTTATATCGTTCTTATTCTTCAATGTAATTTGATATCGGAAACGCCTATTTTCTAGACCGTTCTTTAAAAATGAAATCTTGATCAATGAAAGAAGGTATTCACAACTGAAATTTTAGGATGAAATATCTTTTTCTACTAAAACTGTAATAAATAAATAAAAATTTAGGACAGTCCAACCATAAGAGCAACTCCGCCCATTTGCCCTTAACCATGGCAGGGGGGAGCTAGGGCAGCCACTATT